TGTTCTGTGCCATGTAGTGTCTAACATTGTTAGCACCTCTTCGTCTTCTGTGTCATGTAGTGTCTAACATTGTTGGAACCTCTTCGTGTTCTGTGTCATGTAGTGTCTAACATTGTGGGCACCTCTTCGTGTTCTGTGTCATGTAGTGTCTAACATTGTTAGCACCTCTTCGTTTTCTGTGTCATGTAGTGTCTAACATTGTTGGCACCTCTTCGTGTTCTGTGTCATGTAGTGTCTAACATTGTGGGCACCTCTTCGTCTTCTGTGTCATGTAGTGTCTAACATTGTTGGCACCTCTTCGTGTTCTGTGTCATGTAGTGTCTAACATTCTTGATAGGCTCTACCGTCATATGCCATGTAGTGTCTAACATTGTTGACACCTCTTCGTGTTCTGTGTCATGTAGTGTCTAACATTGTTGGCACCTCTTCGTGTTCTGTGTCATGTAATGTAGTTTACAACATTGTTGATAGGCTCTACCGTCATATGCCATGTAGTGTCTAACATTGTTGATATCTCTTCGTGTTCTGTGTCACGTAATGTCTAACATTGTTGACAGCCTCTACCGTCATATGCCATGTAGTGTCTAACATTGTTGGCACCTCTTCGTGTTCTGTGTCATGTAGTGTCTAACATTCTTGATAAGCTTCTACCGTCATATGCCATGTAGTGTCTAACATTGTTCGCACCTCTTCGTGTTCTGTGTCATGTAGTGTCTAACATTGATGACACTTCTTCGTGTTCTGTGTCATGTAGTGTACAACATTGTTGATAGGCTCTACCGTCATATGCCATGTAGTGTCTAACATTGTTGAAACCTCTTCGTGTTCTGTGTCATGTAGTGTCTAACATTGTTGATAGCCTCTACCGTCATATGTCATGCAGTGTCTAACATTGTTGACACCTCTTCGTGTTCTGTGTCATGTAGTGTCTAACATTGTTGGCACCTCTTCGTGTTCAGTGTCATGTAGAGTCTAACATTGTCGGCACCTCTTCGTGTTCTGTGTCATGTAGTGTCTCACATTGTTGACAGCCTCTGCCGTCATATGCCATGTAGTCACTACCGGTATGTGCAAGAAAAGGTCTCAAATTGTGTATATCCTCACCCACTGTGTCATGTAGTGTCTCACAGTGTTGATAGTCTCTACCGGTATGTGTTATGTAGTGTCCCATAGTGTCCAATAGTGTTGATAGTCTCTACCAGTATGTGTTATGTAGTGTCCCATAGCGTTGATAGTCTCTACCAGTATGTGTTATGTAGTGTCTCACAGTGTTGATAGTCTCTACCAGTATGTGTTATGTAGTGTCTCACAGTGTTGATAGTCTCTACCAGTGTGTGTTATGTAGTGTCTCACAGTGTTGATAGTCTCTACCAGTATGTGTTATGTAGTGTCTCACAGTGTTGATAGTCTCTACCAGTATGTGTTATGTAGTGTCCCATAGTGTTGATAGTCTCTACTAGTATGTGTTATGTAGTGTCCCATAGTGTTGATAGTCTCTACCAGTATGTGTTATGTAGTGTCTCACAGAGTTGATAGTCTCTACCAGTATGTGTTATGTAGTGTCTCTCACAGTGTTGATAGTCTCTACCAGTATGTGTTATGTAGTGTCTCACAGTGTTGATAGTCTCTACCAGTATGTGTTATGTAGTGTCCCATAGTGTTGATAGTCTCTACCAGTATGTGTTATGTAGTATGTGTTATGTAGTGTCTCATAGTGTTGATAGTCTCTACCAGTATGTGTTATGTAGTGTCTCACAGTGTTGATAGTCTCTATCAGTATGTGTTATGTAGTGTCCCATAGTGTTGATAGTCTCTACCAGTATGTGTTATGTAGTTTCTCACAGTGTTGATAGTCTCTACCAGTATGTGTTATGTAGTGTCCCATAGTGTTGATAGTCTCTACCAGTATGTGTTATGTAGTGTCCCATAGTGTTGATAGTCTCTACCAGTATGTGTTATGTAGTGTTCCATAGTGTTGATAGTCCATAGTGTTGATAGTCTACCAGTATGTGTTATGTAGTGTCCCATAGTGTTGATAGTCTCTACCAGTATGTGTTATGTTATGTAGTGTCCCATAGTGTTGATAGTCTCTACCAGTATGTGTTATGTAGTGTCCCATAGTGTTGATAGTCTCTACCAGTATGTGTTATGTAGTGTCTCACAGTGTTGATAGTCTCTACCAGTATGTGTTATGTAGTGTCTCACAGTGTTGATAGTCTCTACCAGTATGTGTTATGTAGTGTCTCAAAGTGTTGATAGTCTCTACCAGTATGTGTTATGTAGTGTCCCATAGTGTTGATAGTCTCTACCAGTATGTGTTATGTAGTGTCACATAGTGTTGATAGTCTCTACCAGTATGTGTTATGTAGTGTCCCATAGTGTTAATAGTCTCTACCAGTATGTGTTATGTAGTGTCCCATAGTGTTGATAGTCTCTACCAGTATGTGTTATGTAGTGTCTCACAGTGTTGATACTCTCTACCAGTATGTGTTATGTAGTGTCTCACAGTGTTGATAGTCTCTACCAGTATGTGTTATGTAGTGTCTCAAAGTTTTGATAGTCTCTACCAGTATGTGTTATGTAGTGTCCCATAGTGTTGATAGTCTCTACCAGTATGTGTTATGTAGTGTCTCATAGTGTTGATAGTCTCTACCACCAGTATGTGTGTTATGTAGTGTCCCATAGTGTTGATAGTCTCTACCAGTATGTGTTATGTAGTGTCCCATAGTGTTGATAGTCTCTACCAGTATGTGTTATGTAGTGTCCCATAGTGTTGATAGTCTCTACCAGTATGTGTTATGTAGTGTCTCACAGAGTTGATAGTCTTTACCAGTATGTGTTATGTAGTGTCTCACAGTGTTGATAGTCTCTACCAGTATGTGTTATGTAGTGTCTCACAGTGTTGATAGTCTCTACCCATGTGTATGTGTGTTATGTAGTCTCCCATAGTGTTGATAGTCTCTACCAGTATGTGTTATGTAGTGTCTCATAGTGTTGATAGTCTCTACCAGTATGTGTTATGTAGTGTCTCACAGTGTTGATAGTCTCTATCAGTATGTGTTAGTGTGTAGTGTCCCATAGTGTTGATAGTCTCTACCAGTATGTGTTATGTAGTGTCCCATAGTGTTGATAGTCTCTACCAGCATGTGTTATGTAGTGTCCCATAGTGTTGATAGTCTCTACCAGTATGTGTTATGTAGTGTCCCATAGTGTTGATAGTCTCTACCAGTATGTGTTATGTAGTGTCCCATAGTGTTGATAGTCTCTACCAGTATATGTGTTATGTAGTGTCCCATAGTGTTGATAGTCTCTACCAGTATGTGTTATGTAGTGTCCCATAGTGTTGATAGTCTCTACCAGTATGTGTTATGTAGTGTCCCATAGTGTTGATAGTCTCTACCAGTATGTGTTATGTAGTGTCTCACAGTGTTGATAGTCTCTACCAGTATGTGTTATGTAGTGTCCTCACAGTGTTGATAGTCTCTACCAGTATGTGTTATGTAGTGTCTCAAAGTTTTGATAGTCTCTACCAGTATGTGTTATGTAGTGTCCCATAGTGTTGATAGTCTCTACCAGTATGTGTTATGTAGTGTCACATAGTGTTGATAGTCTCTACCAGTATGTGTTATGTAGTGTCCCATAGTGTTGATAGTCTCTACCAGTATGTGTTATGTAGTGTCCCATAGTGTTGATAGTCTCTACCAGTATGTGTTATGTAGTGTCTCACAGTGTTGATAGTCTCTACCAGTATGTGTTATGTAGTGTCCCATAGTGTTGATAGTCTCTACCAGTATGTGTTATGTAGTGTCTCACAGTGTTGATAGTCTCTACCAGTATGTGTTATGTAGTGTCCCATAGTGTTGATAGTCTCTACCAGTATGTGTTATGTGTAGTGTCTCACCAGTGTTGATGTCCCTCTACCAGTATGTGTTATGTAGTGTCTCATAGTGTTTATATTCTCTACCAGTATGTGTTATGTAGTGTCTCACATTGTTGATAGTCTTTACCAGTATGTGTTATGTAGTGTCCCATAGTGTTGATAGTCTCTACCAGTATGTGTTATGTAGTGTCCCATTGTGTTGATACTCTCTACCAGTATGTGTTATGTAGTGTCTCACAGTGCTGATAGTCTCTACCAGTATGTGTTATGTAGTGTCTCACAGTGTTGATAGTCTCTACCAGTATGTGTTATGTAGTGTCTCACAGTGTTGATAGTCTCTACCAGTATGTGTTATGTAGTGTCTCACAGTGTTGATAGTCTCTACCAGTATGTGTTATGTAGTGTCCCATAGTGTATTGATAGTCAGTGTTGATAGTCTCTACCAGTATGTGTTATGTAGTGTCTCCCATAGTGTTGATAGTCTCTACCAGTATGTGTTATGTAGTGTCTCATAGTGTTGATAGTCTCTACCAGTATGTGTTATGTAGTGTCCCATAGTGTTGATAGTCTCTACCAGTATGTGTTATGTAGTGTCTCACAGTGTTGATAGTCTCTACCAGTATGTACAATGTCTTCTGACATTGCTGATTGTCATCTTCTTTATGGTATATGTTTAAGTTTTGTTTTATATACTTTGCATGGACATCACCTCTTGTTAAATAACATTTTTATCGACGTCCTTTACAACAACACACTTTACAAAAATGACAAAGGTGCCCCACAAAGGTTCGTAAATGTAATATGGTATTTAACATAAGAAGCTGCACCAGAATCAAGACGGACATCCACCTTGAGGGTTTTGAATCCTACCCGCCTCAAATATTTACATATACACCATGTTTGCAGAGTCTCACCATATGTGCACCTACACAATTCGCACGAGGATTTGTGGCAGCAACAAACATTCAAAACGGACAGTACACAAATCTAGTTTGGATAAATATTGACACATGGTACAGAGTAACCCGTATATTGAAAAGAACGGTCGCATTACACGGTGAACCCGACATAATCCTAGCTTGGGAAAATTGTACATACAGATGCCACTTTCAAAACTTACACTGGATATCCAAGTGAGCTACACACAACCATGGCGTGGTCGTTGGTGAAGCCGTGGTCACATATAGAGCCCCACTCTCCGTTGTGAAACACTTCGACTCGACCCTCGTACTTAGTCATTCCCCCGATTAGTCTCACTGGCGCATGCTTTATTGGCTCTGAAACGGGAGGTGCACACTATGCTAAATTGTGAAATATGGCTATATGGGAGTGGAAGACATACTTTCAAAATAATATGAATCATTTGAGTATAAGACAAAATATTATGACATTCACCTGACGAAGGGGCAAGGAATAGCCCAGAAACGTTGTGTATAGAATAAAGAAGAAGTTGACATCCATAATATTTTGTTCAAGTCTTATACTTGAATACCAACTTCTATATGCCTCTGAAGAACCTGATCATTTGAGTATTTGAGCACATGTACGACTGGTGTCCCAAACGTTCCCGGCCTCGCAAACTAACATGCGATCTATTTGAAAATTGCTGTACTTATTTTTCAACATAATCCCCTTCACTTCAATGCACTTGTTCTACCGCATCATCAGAAGGGGTGTGGTGGGCGAGCTATCGAAGACGCCAGGCTAGTGATCCAGCGAGCTTGAGGTGACGGGATCGATCCCACCTGTGACCGGGTGTAAAAACCTTGGAGTCAACTTTGTTTGCAGACTCTTTCAGTGACGTCACAACCCCTGGTGTACAGTACACAACCCTGTGCACTTAAAAGAACCCACGAATCCGTTAGCAAATGACCAGATGGTGGCCACATGAATACGTGCAAACACCTTGAGCAGCGCGCAGTAAAACTTGGGCAAAGTACAGTGACTCTGTGTTCCAGTCCACCCAGATGTGAATGGGTACTTCTTAATTATGGGAAAGCCACAGTTACATCGAATGATCAAGGGAAACATGAGCATGCATGTAGATGGGAAGGACTATAGCGCTATATAATTACCCACATATAATATAATAGTCCTCGAGAAGCTGACGACAAACCATTACTCTCTGGCGGTTGTGTTCTTCAGATAACATTCTGGGCACCCAACGGGCAGACGCCATGTTCACATGCAAATGTTCATGGATTATTCGTTCCACTGATGTTTTGCTGATGTCATGTGCAGTAGCTAATTGTCTTATAGTTACTCGCCTGTCCTGCATTATTGTGTCGGGAACAGCATCAATTATATCTTTGGTAGTCACTTGAGCGACCAAACAGCACACCACTGTTTGACCATACTATATGACGCAGCATTGTCACCTAATGTTTGTGTCATGTCATCATAAATTTGCTTTGGCGTAAACTTTTTTTAAATGAAGATACTTCGTAACAGCCCTGCATTCTGTTCCCTCCATTTCGAGGGCACATGATAGGGTCATGCTGGTTTTTTTTAATTCATTCAAGTCAAAGGCCACAGGCCCATAGGACGTACCTTAACTGCACATACACATTTTGTTATACTTCAATACATAAACGACAAATAAATTTCACAAGGTAGTACTATAGTAATACACAATGCATGATAATAACATTATTGGTGTACCGATGGGTAAAGTGTAAATGCTAGAAATACATACTTACTTAAATTTAACAATGTTTGAGAACATGTGGAATTGATAAGATTTACAAATGCTGCAACAGAAGGATGTTCATGATATGCAGGGTGAATATATGATTTTCGTTGATTTAAAAAGGCTTTGCATACAAGTAAGAAATGGAATTCATTCTCAACTACATCTATTCCGTAGCGGCTACAATGTGTACATAATCTGCTTTCCTCATCTATTCCGAGTCTTCGTCCAAGTACAATCCTTAAGTTGTGGCATCCGCATCTCAATCTTGATAAAGCTTGACGGTGTATTTTTAAGTTGGTATGAGTTAGATATTGTTCGACATTTAAAACTGACTTATAGGTAGAATACGAAGATAGTTTAGAGTTGTTTTTAATGTCTGCTTGCCATTGTTGAATATCTACGTCGATGATACGTTGTTTTATTTTTGATAGAAAGAGTGTTCTATTGCCGAAGTCCTGCATGATCCATGTGTGTCCAAATCCATATTGAAATAAAATCTGTTTAACTTTTGAAGCCCATGACGTACTCTTCCGTCACGGCACTGAACCGTACTGGACCACTGGACCATCCATACACGTCGCCAGATTGGTAGATTCTGGAATCGAACGTTATTGCACCACTGAATCGACGTCGATGTAGTCGTCGCAGCAAAACAGGGTCCAGCTTCTCGTAAACGAGTACGAATGGTTTGCACCGACACTTGCAAATGCTGTGACAGTTCGATTCCGCAAATGAAAAACCCGGATGTACCTATCCTGCGCTGCAGTGGTAATCCGAGGTCTCCCACTTTGGTCGATCTTGGTTTGTTGATATCGGCCCCGTAAACGATTGCTAGTACTCTGGTGAACATTGACTTTATGTGCAAGGGTATATTGAAACTCCCCAGCCTCCAGACGTCAAACGGCAATGTTTCAATTTACAGTAATGAGTCGAGAGTTTTTGAGGAGAGTATACTTATACGTTGTTACGTCTTAAGCTGTACTAACACAGTATAACGTGTTACGTCTTAAGCTGTACTCACACAGTATAACGTGTTTACGTCTTAAGCTGTACTCACATAGTATAACGTGTTACGTCTTAAGCTGTACTAACACAGTATAACGTGTTTACGTCTTAAGCTGTACTCACATAGTATAACGTGTTACGTCTTAAGCTGTACTAACACAGTATAACGTGTTTACGTCTTAAGCTGTACTCACACAGTATAACGTGTTACGTCTTAAGCTGTACTCACATAGTATAACGTGTTACGTCTTAAGCTGTACTCACACAGTATAACGTGTTTACGTCTTAAGCTGTACTCACATAGTATAACGTGTTACGTCTTAAGCTGTACTCACACAGTATAACGTGTTTACGTCTTAAGCTGTACTCACATAGTATAACGTGTTACGTCTTAAGCTGTACTCACACAGTATAACGTGTTTACGTCTTAAGCTGTACTCACATAGTATAACGTGTTACGTCTTAAGCTGTACTCACACAGTATAACGTGTTTACGTCTTAAGCTGTACTCACATAGTATAACGTGTTTACGTCTTAAGCTGTACTCACATAGTGTAACGTGTTGACGTCTTAAGCTGTACTCACATAGTGTAACGTGTTTACGTCTTAAGCTGTACTCGCATAGTCATACGTGTTGACGTCTTAAGCTGTACTCACATAGTATAACGTGTTTACGTCTTAAGCTGTACTCGCATAGTCATACGTGTTGACGTCTTAAGCTGTACTCACATAGTGTAACGCGTTACGTCTTAAGCTGTACTCACATATTTTAACATGTTTACGTCTTAAGCTGTACTCACATAGTATAACATGTTTACGTCTTAAGCTGTACTCACATAGTGTAACGTGTTGACGTCTTAAGCTGTACTCACATAGTGTAACGTGTTGACGTCTTAAGCTGTACTCACATAGTGTAACATGTTTACGTCATAAGCTGTACTCACATAGTGTAACATGTTTACGTCTTAAGCTGTACTCGCATAGTCATACGTTTTGACGTCTGAAGCTGTACTCACATAGCGTAACGTGTTTACGTCTTAAGCTGTACTCACATATTGTAACGTGTTTATGTTTTAAGCAGTACTCACATAGTGTAACATGTTTACGTCTTAAGCTGTACTCGCATAGTCATACGTGTTGACGTCTTTAGCTGTACTCACATATTGTAACATGTTTACGTCTTAAGCTGTACTCACATAGTGTAACGTGTTTACGTCTTAAGCTGTACTCGCATAGTCATACGTGTTGACGTCTTAAGCTGTACTCACATAGTATAACATGTTTACATCTTAAGCTGTACTCACATAGTGTAACGTGTTGACGTCTGAAGCTGTACTCACATAGTGTAACGTGTTTACGTCTTAAGCTGTACTCGCATAGTCATACGTGTTGACGTCTTAAGCTGTACTCACATAGTGTAACGTGTTTACATCTTAAGCTGTACTCGCATAGTCATACGTGTTGACGTCTGAAGCTGTACTCACATAGTATAACGTGTTTACGTCTTAAGCTGTACTCACATAGTATAACGTGTTTACGTCTTAAGCTGTACTCACATAGTATAATGTGTTTACGTCTTAAGCTGTACTCGCATAGTCATACGTGTTGACGTCTTAAGCTGTACTCACATAGTGTAACGCGTTACGTCTTAAGCTGTACTCACATATTTTAACATGTTTACGTCTTAAGCTGTACTCACATAGTATAACATGTTTACGTCTTAAGCTGTACTCACATAGTGTAACGTGTTACGTCTTAAGCTGTACTCACATAGTGTAACGTGTTGACGTCTTAAGCTGTACTCACATAGTGTAACATGTTTACGTCTTAAGCTGTACTCACATAGTGTAACATGTTTACGTCTTAAGCTGTACTCACATAGTGTAACGTGTATACGTCTTAAGCTGTACTCACATAGTGTAACGTGTTTACGTCTTAAGCTGTACTCACATAGTGTAACGTGTTTACGTCTTAAGCTGTACTCACATAGTGTAACGTGTTTACGTCTTAAGCTGTACTCGCATAGTCATACGTGTTGACGTCAGAAACCACCCTTTCAGTTAAATTTGTTGATATGCATGACACATACAGTGAAATGAGGTATATAAATTGACACGTGTGTTTGACACTAAAATATTAATGCATGTAACCGGTTTTACGAACATTTCGACGTACTTGCTCACAACTGAATCTAAGCACCCGTACTGACATGAGTGTTGAGAGGAAATGAGTGTAAGCCGTTCCTCACCTCCGCATATCACCCCCGCGTCTTCGCTGTGATCACAATTGCTGGCCCCAATTTCCGCGTGACCGCACAGTGAGACACTAGTCTCGTTTCCCCGGCAGTCCATGTCGTCCAGCAGGATTCTGCCGGTACCAGCAGGAAAGTAACCAGCACCGCGGGGATATACTGCATCTCTGCAATAAAATATACGTAGAGTGGCTTGGGGACTCCCAGTGTATATGAAGAGAATCAGGCAAACGCTATTGATATAAATTTATGATTTTCTATGGGTTTTTTTGTAGAGTAGTTAGTGAGTGCGGGTCCGTCATCACGTCGGTCTACTTAATGTGGGAGAACAGCCCGATATGATGTGGTCTCAGACGCACACAACCAAGGTGAGACCCAGGAGCGCCAGTATGGCGTTTGCAAATCAGTTATCAATATACGCCTAACTTTTTAACTCAAAAGAAAATGTCCGGTATGGGAAGAAACGCATTTACTGCAGAGGTAACACGAGTCCAATCTCGAGACATAGTATGGTCAAGTGTATGAGGACTATAGACCTTGTGTGTCAACCATTTGCATCTAGTAATGCTGAGGACGACACACCTTGTGTGTCAACCATTTGCATCTAGTAATGCTGAGGACGACACACCTTGTATGTCAACCATTTGCATGTAGTAATGCTGAGGACGACACACCTTGTATGTCAACCATTTGCATGTAGTAATGCTGAGGACGACAGACCTTGTATGTCAACCATTTGCATCTAGTAATGCTGAGGACGACACACCTTGAATGTCAACCATTTTCATCTAGTGATGCTGAAGACGACAGACCTTGTGTGTCAACCATTTGCATCTAGTAATGCTGAGGACTACAGACCTTGTGTGTCAACCATTTGCATCAGATAAGTCATCATTATACCGACAGCATTATTAGCGTGATTTTTGCAAGAAATATGTTGCAGTTCCTTCAACCACATGGAAAACAAGAAGGTGCACATGTAGAGACTGGTGCGGGTTTTAAAGGGACTGGAGTTTCCCTGATTGACAGGGTCCCATAATTCCATATATTCACAGTGGACGGAAGAAACTGTTTGTGTATGTAATTGTATTGCGTCCTGAATTGTATTGATAATTTCCTGCGGTGGCTGAGCGGTCTAGGCGTCTGACTTTGTGTGCTGGCGATTAGGTGCCTGATTCTGAAGGTGTGGGTTCGAATCCCGGATGGGACTCAACCCGAAAACAAAGTATTTGAATCTGTACTTTACTAAGAAAGTGTAATCCCAAATATAACATATGTTACATTTGACCACTGTCTAAAATGACATTGTGTATTTCATTTCCTACCCTGTATACAGTGTGTGCTGAAGACAGGGTCACGTAGTTGTTGATTTTTAAAACTGTTGAAATAGCATTTCGGAGAGAATGTTTGGGTTACCTTCCAGCTAAACGGACTGCCTGTAATTGAGTATGATTATGTATGCAAATAGAAAGGACAAAACCCTTTCCACATCCATAGGAAATCTCTACTGAAAACAGGCTCGATTGTACAATTGTAACACAACCGGCACACTCTTAGGCCTATTCATAATGTTTTACTTGCAAAACATGCACATTAATCGAACTCGTGACTCTCATTGGGTGTCACCTATCTCCATTGATTCAAGCAATAACAACAATACCTTTATCAATTTGGCACCAGTTGAAAAATCCTATTCAAGCTTCACACATTGTTTACGTATTTGTGTATATATAAGGATCATTATAGCGTTTTCAATTTGAGAACATGATATTTTCAATCAAACTCCTGGTGCTCACGTTGAAAGATTGAGCATACGACAGACGACAGTCGCGTCATGAACGTCCCAGTGATCATCGCACACGGTCCCCCACTCGCCACCGTTGATCTGTACTTCCACCCGTCCCTCGTTAGCCGTGCTGCCGTTCACCAGGCGGACGTTGTACACAGTCGTCACGCTGCCAGCTGTAAGACATGACATATTTTAACCGTTATAACTTTGTGACAATACTGAGTTGTGTAGTAACACTACTGTAAGTTGGCATACCTTCTATGGCGCATCTTATATAACTCGCATTTCTTCTTACAGGAGGGGAATGGTTAAACTTGGGGTTTATAGGAGGGACTATGATATCTTACAGCGAAACAGAAGCTGCCCAACCCACAACTTATCCTGTTGCACCAAACCTGGGCCTCAAGCCACTATAATAACGAAAATATAAGTAACTACTTCATAATAGGAAATTCGAATGACCAATGCACTACAACTTTCAACCAGGAATTACTGTCTTAAGAAGCAAATTCCGGTTAAATATCTTCAATCGCTAGGCATCTTTAAAATGGAAACTCCGTCCCTCTAGCTACCTTAAGATGGAAGTATAATTACCTTTAACTTCAAGTTTCGTAGCCAGTATCATGCCTGATTACTTACAGCTGCTTTCACATCTCCAAGCTCAGAGACCACGACTCAAAGAAGCAGAACTTCTGACCATTCGAGTGACCTTAACCTCACTGAAAGGTGTTCTAACGTCCCAATGTCAGTAGTATACGTACTGTATTTCCTCGTGTTACACTTCCCGAGTTAGTATTAACATAACAGAGAGTGAATGTGAGACTGACATGGACACCTTCAATATAAGTGTCAAGAAGTTCAAGGACATTCCAAAGGGATATTCAAAATACGATACAGATATGACTGCGCCAAACAACGACACATCAGCACCAGCTACTCACTGGAACTGGCCCACCACGGGTCAACATGTCACAAACATATACATCCAAATGGTATAATCACTTCTTACACTGAAAGTTTTCAAAATAACCTTCACTGTGACATTGACCTTTCTCATTGTTTTCTCGCTACCTGCCCCGGTCTTACTTCATGGACGCACAGTATATTGTTTTCTCAGTTTAGGCAGTGACCAACAGTTCCATTCTGGTTATAGGCTAGTAGATTATTTTTAACGTTGAAATGCGAATTTGTCCAAATGATTTCACTGGGTTATTACAGAGATATGCATGAAAGGAGATATATAATATAATCACAACATAGATAAATAAATGAAATTGCATACGCTACTCATCGAAAATCTGTCACAGCGATACCCAAAGATTGCCATCAGTTGTGATGCATCAGTACTTAAACACCATAACCACTACATCAATGATTCCAAAGATATCTGCAGAAAAAATCAGTTGTCAACATTGACCTTTTAGATGACCTTGACTTTATACGTATGTGTAACCCACCCTAAGACTGACATGTACAAGTTTCACACTAAACATATAAACAACATCACCACAGAGGACCTTGGTGACATCTGACCCCCACATCGTGACTGTGGTCACAGTCGCTGCTGCCAACAGAGCCGATGTTGCACATGTTGAGATTAGCCTCAGTTCCGACACAATGGACGTTTCCTAGCACCACGTTGCCGAGCCCCGGACCGAAGGCCGCTCCTCCAACACCCGTGGCGTTGTCACTGTCCAGAAATAAAAATGAACCGTTTTCAACATATATACGATGTCTGTCACCACATTGTTAGATATTAACGTTTAAACTGTATACGACAACGAGCCGGAGCTTAGGAATGATATACGTCAATATACAAACACGTTGTGAACACTGAATCCCATTATCCCGGTAGTCAGATATTTTCTGTATTAGAAATACAGCCATTTTGGCAGCTCGCAACATTTCGCTCAATTACATTTGACAAATACTACACTGGCGTATTTGCATGGATAAGCGATTCGACGGTTAAAACATCACTGTATTATCACTTAAAGACGTATACCTACGTGGAGAACCCCTTCTGTCTACAAATGACCTGGGCCTCAGTATCAGTCCAGTGGTCGTCACAAATAGTTCCCCACGAGCCTCCGTACAGCACCTCCACCCTTCCCTCACCAGCTGTACCCCCGGCTATACGCACGTCTACGTCCAGGGTCGCAGCTGCAGTACCATGAAGAAAGGTTAAGTAAGAAATCCCAAAGGAACTTGACAGATTTCATTATTTGAAGAATATAGTACTTGAATATAGTACAATGCAAACACGTGCATATGAAGAAAACTTCGATGCGAAGATCACGTGATCGACTGCACGTGCAAAACCTGATTTGGCACTAACGTCATTTGCACGACGAATGGATGGGTTTGAGTGGGTTTTGCTAACGTTTTTCTAGAGTCGAAAGATAGGGATCCCATTTCGGATACATAGATGTATCATTAGAGAAAAATTATTCATTATTTTTCAAATTACATTTTGTGAAGTTTCTTTTTTGACTCAGTATATATTCATTTTACACATTTGAAATTAGAATTCATCTTTTCAATGCTACATATCTACAAATATTTAAATAATGACACTGGAAAATACGAGCAAGATTATGTTTTGCCCTTCTTATGTCATCACATTGCGTTGGCACTTACTGTAAAGATGAGAGGAAGTACTTCTCCTCTACCTTAACTACAATAACATATTTCCTATTGATGTTCTTCCGCCGTGAGGAATAATTCTTTAGGACTAATTATGAACTGTACATTTGATTGAAAACATAATCTGAATCATATGTAATGAAAAACGAATGCAGGCAGATAAATACGAAACAGAATGTCTGCTGTTGTGTGTTTAGCACAAAGCACATCGGCACTGAGAGGACTCCGTGGTTATTGTTTACACAGGAATCCAAGGTAATTAAACTGTAGCCATGGCGATTTCAGCAGATTGTTGTGATAACGTTTCACTGATCCATACAATCACAGCTCTCACATTGATCCACTTGTACACTCACGGTTGCAAATGCATGCTTACACAGCCACCATGCACAATATTTTGCATTTTGATATTGCGAAACAAAATCGTAATTTTAATTTGATTAAAATTTCAATTTAGCTCTCAGCTATCAAATTCTTACATACTAGAGTTTTTTGGCCATACCCGAAAATTACGTAATAGTTTACACTGGGCAGACAACTAGCCACTAATTGTGCCTAAGTTCACAAAATCCCGACACGCACAGCGATCTATTAACACGGAAAAACTAGACAAAGTTTTACCAATATTTTATAACGATATGCGTTATTGAAAACTGGAAATATTACAGACTAACCGACTACGTTCCTCAATCTTAAACCTGCCAAGGGTCACATTGATAACGAGCATCAGACTTAATCCGGGACCAGTATCTCTAAAGCTAACAGAACCAAGGTGCAGTACGTTTATCTGTCTTTACGGCTGTTTGTATTCCACGTTGGTCAAATCACGTGCGTGCCACATATACCTTCCTGGCATACTCGCGACTGGCCATCGATGCTTCGGTCCAACTAAATGACATAATCTCACGTTCACAATAACAACGTTATCGTAAGTTTTATCTGTAAACGCGATTATCTGCGATAGCTAGAATAGGTATATAATACGGATGACAGTTACAAATCAGGGGGTGGCTGTCTAGTAAATTCACTCGGGTCTCGGGTGTTGTGTGGGTTGGTTGTGCCACTGGTACCTCTGCTGAGCGAGTTGACACTTCAGCTCGCTCTTAATAAGTGGCGGGGGGACCGAAAGTGGCAATGGCGACACACCAACCCACAAACATGGCAACACCTGACGCAGGACCGAGACGACCCATCCACAGACAACCCAAGACTCCATCGCAGAACCGGGCGGAACAGACGAGCAACTGGAGTGTCCCACAAACCAATGCCCCAGGTACCAACACTACAGGTACTCCTCCAGTCACTATATATGGGGTCCCACTTCCTACACGGTCCTTATCGAAGTAAAGCACCGGTAGTTGACATGATGGACGACAAAGGCAGCGTCATAGCGGTCGTCATCATGGATCACAGAAGAAGATGACTGGAGGCAGAAGCCCAGACAACCCGGTCATCATCAAGATGTCAGCCGATAATCAGGACATCATCGGTACCCCAACATTCATGTGAGTGAACCAACTTTCAAGTTCAAGTCAACCTAGGCATACATCACGAATCATCTGCACGTTTCTTCCGATGTGTGTGACAATATCAGTGAACTTTGGTTCTGACTCTCACCGTGAACTGTGTACGTGAACTTCTCAAGGACGTTCTTGTTTATGTGAGGTATGTTGTATGTTCTCCGGTCATTGTTTCGTTGTGTTCTTAGTTGTCATGTTTTCATATATAGAGTATGTATTGTAATCTATGTGATGTTATCAGACATACATCTTTATCAGATTAACTTGTTGAAGTCGGCTGGGTTCTTACTCTACGGTACATCCTGGTCACACCCTACGCCCTACACATGTACGCATTTAGTGCAGATCAACGTTATCTGCGGGATCCGAGTCTTCCCATACAAACCAGACTCCCGGTTTCAAGGATTTTTCTCATACTTGGTAGGTCTATAACCGTCACTATAGATAATAGCTTTCCATAACCTATTCAATACAATATGATTTCCTGCTTACATATTCATGTCATCCTTTTTGAACATGTGAGCATCAAGTATACAAGTATTCATTGTGAAAGATATGATATAGTCGTTCCCTGTCGAAACAGCTATTGTAAGAGTATACCTATGTTATGGAGACCCATTGCTAGTCATATTCACTGCGCTATTTAGTGGAAACTGTATGTCCAGTATGTATCGTATACTACTTCGTTTCGCCACCTTGAGTTTACTCTAAACCACGATACCGGCGGAAATAGGTATCTTCGGAGTCCCTGGCTCACAATATACGATTCGCAGAAATATCGTCGAGCCAAATTCACTTGAATGAATTTTCATTATATGTCAGTATAGACTTTTGAAGTTGGTTAGGTTCATTTTCTTCATGCCCTTACTTCGTTTAGAGCAGATCACAACCTCTGCTAGCCTTGCCGGGTCTTGGCTCACAATATAAGACTCCGAAATTCAAGGATCTTGCTGTTGTCGTGAGAATGCTACCTTCAGATGCAAACGAACAATTGTATACTCTCAGCTCACTGACGTGGTTTGTGAACAACAGTCACCCAAGGTAAGTGACCAGTACTACCCAGTTGAAAAGCTATTGCGTCAACGCATGCAACAGGGTAAACGTCACTATTTAGTCAAGTGGGTTGGTTACTCAGAACCCTCATGGGAACCCTCTGAACATGTTACTGAAGAATCCAAGCGAATCTTTCATGAACGCTTCACCATGAAAGACAAGAGACGGAAACGCCCCTACAAATATCTCCAGATAAAGTAAATACCAGGGATTAAAGATGTGTCTTTCATACCTAAATTCAATTATGTCAACACCATCTAGATCATGCATAGTTCTCAAGTGCTAGAAATTGTCTGCAGCAATTTCACCAAAACCCTAAATGCTGTTCTATTTGGTGTACACATTAAGTAACTCAAAATGTCTTGTGTTTTGTTTTAGGAAAGAGGCACATCTCTAACATCCTCTGTATCCTGATAGTCGTCATTTTCCAATATTGCTTTATCACTAGCGTTTAAGACTCCTTACTAGCACTTAGTTGCTTAATTTACATCTTGCACCTATTGTTGCCCTTGTATCCACCCTTTACGGACTAAGGTCAATATGTACACACGTTCTCGTCAGCCACCATGGGTACGCGACACCAGTTGTTTCTGTACCACAATTTACCCATTACTCGAAATGTAGATATGAATGATGTTATTATGTTTATACAAATTTCGGGACGAAATATTAAAAGAACAGGGGGATACTATTAACACGGAAAAACTAGACAAAGTTTTACCAATATTTTATAACGATATGCGTTATTGAAAACTGGAAATATTACAGACTAACCGACTACGTTCCTCAATCTTAAACCTGCCAAGGGTCACATTGATAACGAGCATCAGACTTAATCCGGGACCAGTATCTCTAAAGCTAACAGAACCAAGGTGCAGTACGTTTATCTGTCTTTACGGCTGTTTGTATTCCACGTTGGTCAAATCACGTGCGTGCCACATATACCTTCCTGGCATACTCGCGACTGGCCATCGATGCTTCGGTCCAACTAAATGACATAATCTCACGTTCACAATAACAACGTTATCGTAAGTTTTATCTGTAAACGCGATTATCTGCGATAGCTAGAATAGGTATATAATACGGATGACAGTTACAAATCAGGGGGTGGCTGTCTAGTAAATTCACTCAGGTGTGTAACTTTACTTTCTTCAAGTTCGAGAAGTCTTTACCATTTCTATTGTGTGTTAACTTTAATCTTACTGGATATCTCTTTACTACTTGTTACCCTTGGCACATTTTTCAGGTTGATGTGGAACGCGACATGCTTTATTACATGTCTCATATCTTCTGTATTACAGTTTAGGATTGTGTATTTCATACTGATCTTTGACACTACACTGTTATGTGACTGTTATAGAATTTATAGAGTGTGTCGGATATTTTAACTGTTGCATTACGTTGTGAGTACTATGCTGTCTTGTGACTGCCACATAATGTAGATTGTATGAACGCCCACTGGGGTGATGTGTAGAATATTGAACTATTGTTGTGTACATTGGAATATGTATCGTGATGAATGTAGTATGTGTCGTGTGTAACGAATCTACATGTACTTTGATATCTGATTCAATTGTGAACATGTTCTAATAATTAATTGTAAACCATTCTATTATTGACTGATTATGAAAATCATCCTGTGACTGCTGTGTATTAAACTCCTTGTTTATTTTACTCAGGTGTTGTGTTGTGTGTGGGTTGGTATAGTCAGACCTCTTGCCAAGCGAGCTAATTCCCCAACTCGCGTTTTAACAGATCTACAAAGTTACTTCAGCACTGACTAGATATATCTGTCACAGGGCAACTCTTGGCCAATTCAGCAATTGTGAGACACATCTAATCGCTCGTTCTTTACTTTGATCAGACATTGCCAAATTCGCAGACATATTACCCAGGGAAACACAGGAGATCATATGTGAAGGTTCATACTCCAATCAAGCCTCATAACGTGTAAGCCAAGAAATGAAAAGAAACATCCTATTCCACTTTGTTCCTGTATAAGTTACTTACGATGTGTACAGTCAACACCAGCGTCATCCTTATGGTCACAGTCGTGTTCCCCCCAGCCCCCTGAGCTGCAGTTGACGAGGGAGGACTCCGTCCCAGAACAAGCCAGATCGTCGAGCCAGATAGGGCCACTCCCTCCACCTGGATGATACAATGGGGTCCCGGACCTTAAAAAAAGCAATACACCATGAATCAACTGACCAATATATACCGGAATACCTCTCCACTGATACAGTAACGCGTGGTACATGGAACGTCTCTCTTATCATAATATCTTAATCTGCCATTATAGACATGGATACGTATATTGACTGATCACGACTACAACGGAGCTTTTACGTACGATCCAAACCCCAACATCCGACAGACCACTGTTGCTTCAGGGACCTGGAAGTGGTCATCACACACAGTGCCCCACACGCCCCGGTACATGATCTCCAGCCGGCCTTGGTATTTGTTTAGACCCCCGGCCAGACGCACCTGTATCGGCGGAGAGGGCTGCACCCCTGCAACATTCCGTCCGAGATTGTAGACGTAATTGTGTATTGAAAACAATGTGAAAACTTGAAATAGAATATTTGCATATCTCATTAAAAACAATTGCAGTTCAAGTTTTAAAGTGATTATTCAGTTTCAAAACGTAATATCTCTGATGAATTAAGAAAACACATTTCAAAATAGAATAAGATCATTTGTGAATTTTGATTTGGAAAGCTTAATCTGTGAATACGTTATCTTCTGAGGTATTGTCAGTAACACATCTGTAATACATAGTTTGAGAACGAGTGAGAACAGGTTCACGCCGCTTTTAGCGAGGCACTCCAGAAAGGACTTCACACATTCTACCTGTGCGGAAAATCGAACCCGTGTTTTCGGCGAGAAAAGCCCATGCTTTAACCATTAGGCTGCCCCATCGCCACGTTCAATATGAGATCATCCCTGAGTAAGTATATTTGGTCGATCGATCTCCATGTCATCGATTCCGTGTTATGATGTGTCTGTGACGTCACAGTTCCAACTTAACCTGGCAGGCACATGACACCGGCATCTTCCGAGTGGTCACAATTGTTGCTGCCCCACAAGGGGTGCCGACAGTAGCCGATGTTGCTCTCGTTGCCGATACAGTTCATGTCGTCAACCAATATGTCTCCATTGCCCCGTCCGTAGTAAGCGTTGGGTACTGGAATGCTCAGTGTACTGAAACAATCATGATTTTCATACAAATCTTCTTTCAGTGGCGTTGCCTACATTCCTACTCGTACTGTGTGTATACAAGAAGATGCACAATATAACCGGTTCACCGGTATTTACCGGCTCAGGCATGAAAACGATACGTATTGCGATACGCTGATCGAAAACCGGTCTTTTGACTTTCATTCGGAAAACTTTGTAACACTCGGAAATCTTCGGATGTTTCCTTGTTTCATTTGTGCCAAATATTATTTACATTTCTATTTTGTCATGGTTAAAAGTGGTGGGCACCTGTAGCCGTCAGTCCCAGGTGGGTCAGGCGAGGACAACACAAAGCTGCCGGAAACACATTTTGCCAGGGACTTATAAGTACAATATAGAATTACATAAGTAACATTTGACATGAAAGCTATGGGCCTTACTATATTTTCAACAAGGGAAAAAACAAACAACAGTGAAAGTTCCAGGAGAAAATAACATACTTCCAAAATCCAAGCTGCTTACAAATGACGTTGGCTTCAGGTATTCCCCAGCCGTCGTCACAGACGGTACCCCACGTCCCCAGGTTCAAGATCTCTACCCGGCCAGTGTGAGAGTCAGAGCCACCAACCAGGCGCACGCTTACGTTGAGCAAACCAGCTGAAAGGAAATTTAAATGCAAGGAGACCAGGTAACGGAGAATCTGTCTGTAGAGAACTAGGTGTGAAGCAAACAAAATGGTGACATAACCACCGGCACGCCCAAAGCCGACAAGTATAGCTCACTGGACTTTCAAACAGAACGGTTATATACATATTGTTGAAGGACCATGTGACATCTCACTGTATCTGCAAGAATGGGATGTATCCCCTGTATATAAATGCTCATATTCGATGTATAAAATTCTGGTTTAAGATATTGTGTATGCAAGAACATAGATTACCAAAAAAGGCTTATAACATGCTTGTTCATTTGGACAACATTGGTAAAGTGACGTGGGCATCTTATCTAAGAAATCTTCTGTTTTCACATGGTTATGGTTTTGTATGGTTAAGTCAGTCAGTTGGTGATGCAAGTTTGTTTTTAACTCAGTTCCGAGAAAGAAGTCTTAATATGTTTAATCAAGAATGGCATTCAGTAATACATAATAGTTCACGGTACGACTCTACGACAAATCCCTACTCCAGCCGGAGAAATATCTGTCGTTTTTAACATCAAAGAAATTAAGATATCCATTTATACGTTTTAGGTTAGGTTTGATCAACATAATGGTAAACGAAGGAAGACGTTTTTATATTGAACGATGCAAGAGAATATGCCCATTGTGTAATATAGATGTGGAAAATGAAATCCATTTTTTGCTTGTATGTCCTTTGTATAAAGATTTGCGTACGAAATATATAGCTGAATATTATCTACGTAAGCCACCTACATTAGCATTTAAACTACTTCTTTCATCAACTGACCAGCATGTAATAATAAAGCTGTCGTACTATATCAATTATGCTCTTATTAAACGTAACAATCTGATAAAAAGTGTTGTATGTCCATCGTATTTCACTACTTGTACATAATTTACTGCCTGTATCATGATTTGCTGTTTGGATCACTAATTACTACTTATTGCACCATATGTATAATGTATATGTATAACTCCAATGTATATGGGCCGGAGGCCTTTTGTACAATAAACATCTTTGACCTTTGAATGAAACTGATGACGAAATGCAAGGTTTACAGTATACTACTTGTGTGGAAGTGAAAGTGGTGTAGGAGGAACACTATGTAACACTTGCGAAGAATATTATGAATAAATGTTATTTAGAAATATACTACAAACAAAAAGTATGGGAACACCCTAAAATTTGATAGTCATATACAAACTTAATAGTGATGAGGTCATTTATAACTTGTTTGAGTGGCATTTTTGAAGTTGAGACGTACAATATGGAACAGGTTTTTATGGATAACAACTTCTTTATTTCGTGAGTGCGACGTTTCGATACAGATTCTTGTACCGTTGTCAAGCAAACCAGAAATAAAGAAGTTGTTATCCATGAAAACTTGTTCCATATTGTAGGTCATTTATACTCTAAGGTAATTGCAACTTTTTGTGTGCTTAATGGGCACTTTAAACGACATGTTGGAACATGCAGTAAAGCAACCAATTCAATATTCGTTGAGTTTGAGTGAAATGAAACATTGAACAAAACAGCGAAAAACAAGGATGGTGAAACACACCAGCACCATGTTTGATTCAAACGCCCAAGCACAACAGCCAAGTGCATGTGGATGCAGACTTCCCATGCAGCGTGTCTCCAATAACCCCAAACGCATCCTATCCCCATGCTTGGTGGCCATGTGGTGTGCCGCCTCTTGGACAGTGTGATCTTGCCAACAGATGGCAACGGTGAACACGACCTCGACCTGGGGTTACCGTCGCTGTGAACGCGTCGTGTTTTCAGATAAGTCCCGATTCACTTTGCACTTCTAGATGTTCGTAGACGTTGAAATTAATGCCAAGCCTGTGTGAACCTCTCATCTGTGATATGCTGGTGGGTCGATTTGGTGAGGGAGTGGCATCACTATGGTGCCCAAACCCCACTTCATTTCGTGTAAAGAAGGGTTGATGCGCAGCAATATTGACATCCATTGTTCACCCCGTTGCAAGGCGTGTTGGTTGATGTTTTGTCTTTGGGGAGCACAACGCCAGGGCTCGCGACGTACACAAATCACCAGTGATCCAGTAGTACAAAATTCATAGAATGCCATGGACAGCTATGAGCCCAGACCTTTACTCGTCTGGGACATGATAGGGAGACGGGTGAACGTCATTGGCTGCCCACCGGCCAGGCCAACTCAATTTGAGGAGTGAGACAGACTCCCTGAAATCTACATTGGGAAACTGAAACGCAGTTATCCATAAAAACTTGTTTCATATTGAAACGCAGTATGCCTCGTTGAACGAATGGTAAATCCTACATCAGTATCCACACTCGCATACTTTGACATTTTCTAACTTACGCTTATCGTTCTTCAAGATCGTTGGCGGATATAACATCTAACAACCTTTGAATATCCATTTGCATTTTGAAGAATAGAATAGTAACGTACAAACCCTTGTCAGGAAGATCCATACAAGAATTGGTGTTCAGCAAGCCATGTTTGTCGTAACACGTGTTACATCTGGAGATCGGGTGGTTATGGCATGTATCGCTGCCAGGATATCAACCACCGGCATGTATGAAAGAGACACGATTATTTACACAGCTGCAGTGTAGAAACAAACAAACACACCAAAAGACCCACCTGGTGGACAGCTAATCCCGACATCCTCATCATGGCCGCAATCTCCGGTGCCGTACGGTCTTTGAGGGCAACTAGCCAGTGACAGTTCTGACCCCGTACACGCCACGTCATCCATCCAAACAGGTCCAGTCCCCTGCCCATACCATGCGTTGGAGTAAGAAACCGGATGATCTCTGCCGGCCAGTAATGAATATATCTTATATACGTGTACTCAGCTCACGTGTCTCTGTCATTCAATATTTAATGTCATAGACATATACGTCTATCCCTGTGAGAACCATTTTGAATCTGTTATCACCCTGAAAGCATCATGTATTCTGACAGTTACGACTTTGGTACCCAGTCCAAGTTTTCCTTTGGAATGTGTTGTATATGTGTAATTTGAGTGAGTGAGTTTAGTTTTACGTTGCACTCAGCACTATTCCAGCTATATGACAGCGGTCTGTAAATAATCGAGTCTGGACCAGACAACCCAGTGATCAACAGCATGAACATCAATCTACGCAATTCGGATACGATGACATGTGTCAACCAAGTCATCGAGCCTGACCACCCGATTCCGTTAGTCGCCTCTTACGACAAGCATGGGTTACTGAAGATCAATTCTAACCCGAATCTTCACGGGTATGAGCCATCTGAATGTGTTACAACAATCAGTTGCCAACTAAACTGCGGTAGTATTGCCATTCCTCGACATGCATGCAAGAACGTACGTTGACATGCCAAGCATCCTACAAGCAACTGCAGCATTATCGTGTCGTGCGAACCCGTCATCACAAGCTGAACCCCACTGCCCATTCACAAACACTTCAAGGCGTCCTTCTGTTGGGATGCGACCGTCTGCCAGTCGCGCTGTCACATTCGCTGTGGATGCTGAAGATCGACACATGACACTTACATCTTCCGAATGATCACAAACATTATTTCCCAAAGCGTTGTGATGGCAGCTTGACACTGACGTCTCATTGCCCCGACAGTTGATGCTGTCCAGCCATATCTTGCCTGTGCCCTGGCCGTAGGGAGCACCGATAACTGTCACAGCCGCGCCGCTAAATACAGATGTTACATATTACAAGATGCTACATACTACAAGATGCTACATACTACAAGATGTTACACATTACAAGATGATACATATTACAAGATGATACATACTACAAGATGTTACATATTACAAGATGATACATATAACAAGATGGTACATACAGTCAAATCCCGATGAGTCGAATGCCGGTGTCTCGAATATAATGCATAACTCGAAGTACCTGTCGGTCCCGACCATTCCCTGTTATAATTGTCATCATTTGAATACCGGTTACACGAATTCGTGTCATAAATACACATGATGACTCGAGAAGGAAATTTGGTCCCATGAGATTCAAAGGTATCTATTAGTGATAGGGAAATCATTAGATAAACAAATGCTTAGGCAGAGGAATTAGGACTGGATCATCATTTTTTTCTACCCTCATAGACATACCTATGTCTCGAATACATCGATAAGTCGAATTTATTACTTGGTCCCCAGCGATTCGACTCATCGGGATTTGACTGTATTACAAGATGATACATACTACAGGATGATACATATTACAAGATGTTACATATTACAAGATGACACATATTACAAGATGACACATACTACAAGATGACACATACTACAGGATGATACATATTACAAGATGATACATATTACAAGATGATACATATTACAAGATGACACATACTACAGGATGATACATATTACAAGATGTTACATATTACAAGATGACACATATTACAAGATGATACATATTACAGGATGATATTACAAGATGATACATATTACAAGATGACACATACATACTACAGGATGATACATATTACAAGATGTTACATATTACAAGATGACACATATTACAAGATGATACATACTACAGGATGATACATATTACAAGATGTTACATATTACAAGATGACACATATAACAAGATGATACATATTACAAGATGATACATATAACAAGATGATACATATTACAAGATGATACATACTACAGGATGATACATATTACAAGATGTTACATATTACAAGATGACACATATTACAAGATGACACATATTACAAGATGACACATACTACAGGATGATACATATTACAAGATGATACATATTACAAGATGATACATATTACAAGATGACACATACTACAGGATGATACATATTACAAGATGTTACATATTACAAGATGACACATATTACAAGATGATACATACTACAGGATGATACATATTACAAGATGATACATATTACAAGATGACACATATTACAAGATGATACATACTACAAGATGTTACATATAACAAGATGATACATATTACAAGATGATACATATTACAAGATGACACATACTACAGGATGATACATATTACAAGATGTTACATATTACAAAGAGTCAGAACAGGTTTGTTGCTAAGTGGGAACCACTTAAACAGCCTGTTACCTATCTCATGATCCGAAATTATTGGATACAGAATTGCTTCCAATCACCACTGCCAAACGTACATTTGTTTGAAAGAAGGAACTAAACACCCACATAGATAGAACAAGTATATATGGATTTCAACTTCATTTATTCTAGAGCACGACGTTTCGATACAGGTTCTTGTATCGTTTTCATTCTCACTTGAAAACGATACAAGAACCTGTATCGAAACGTCGTGCTCTAGAATAAAAGAAGTTGTCATCCATATATACTTGTTCTATCTGACATCCAACTTCTAAAAATGCCACTCAAGGAAGATAAACACCCGCAGTGTATCAAAGGGTCAGCAGCAACTTACAATCCTCTATCAGTCTGGCCGCCTCCTGATTCAGCGTGTACATAATTGTTACTGGATTGATGCTTTCATGGCACCGAAGTAGAAGTAGTTCATTTCAGGGTAAGAGGGTTTCACAATAACGGTGAAGATTTAAAAGGTTTGTGCCCTATTAAGTGTTATGTGTAGGATTTTAGGATATAACCCAACCTTCATGTTTTTGTTCCGAATGCAATACATAATTGGATATCATATTGAAATGAGTGAAATAATGCATCTATTATCAGAGATAAGATTCTGAAAAGGAATACACAAGAATGTTTTTGTTTTCGGACGTGTGGAATTGAGATGCATTTTTAATACAAAAAACATGTTCACCCATACATTCGATACAAAGTCTAGAAAATGGATATAGGTGAGAGTGACCTCTAGGTGTAAGCAATAGGATGGCTGGTAAGATTAAGCGATGGGTATGTGTTAAGAATACAAAAACGATGTACTTACAATGGTAATCCCATCTGACGGCATACAACATCTGCGGCGTTGTTGGAGAAGTGGTCACCACAGATGGTCCCCCATGTTCCCTCCACGTTCATCTCAAGACGGCCTTGGAACTTAGTTGGGCCGTCAGCAAGACGCAACTTGGGAACATCTGTAGAGAAATAACTCATCTCATTGTATATGTTGCTCAGGTTTCATGTATCCTGTACTTAGTGTGTATCACATTTATACTGGTGCACCAATACGTCTGTACACTAACACAATCATGTAAACATTCCATGAAACTGCCAGCCATAAACATACAAAATATTCGAGTAGGGAATGCCAGAGTTAGTATGCTATGAATTTCGTAATTTAAATAGAGAATTAATCTCCCACTCAGGAAGTGGCGCACCTTCACTACAGAGAACACCGACGTCGTCTTGATGTTGGCAGTGAGAGTTGTACCAACCGTTGCTTGTACATTCAGCGACATTGTCCTCAGTGCCAATACATCTAACGTTATCAAGCAGTACAGCACCAGAGCCTTGTCCAAAGTATGCATTACCAATCGCCATACTGCCAAGCCTGCAACAGAAGTGAACAGTTTAACATATCGTAACACTGACTGGGATGTTTGTCTTGTGAAATACAAAGGCGTTTAAACCTGTATTTCATATATGTCGTGAAAGTATCAACATGAATACCAAAGCGACAACATTCCCCTAACACTGCAACGTTTGCATCCTTTGACCTCCAAACATTTTTTACAAAACCATTCACAACCATTTATCAACACCCCTAGATCATATAGAAGCCACAAAATCCTTTCATAAGAAATCTCTGCCAAAAGCAGAGTCCATTGTACAGTTGCGACTATATCATGAGCAGATATTTGTTTCTGCAGTATTACAGCTGTATGATGTTGTTTGTAAACAAATCGGATCTGAACCAGACAATCCAGTGATTGTCACCATGCGATACGATGACAGAGCATGTGTTTATGAATCACTATGAAATAGTGATGATACCATGTGTTCGCGAATAGGTTCGTGTATCCTGCCCCTCCGGTGGCACCCGTCATAAACATATGCTAAGTCTTGTCAATTGTTCATCTGAAATAATTCGGGAACATATGGTATAAGTCAAAATAAGGAATTGCAATGGACATAATTTTTGTCACTGATGCATCAACGTTTACATTGGCGGGCGGCTGAGCGGAGACACACTGGTTAACCCGTGGAGATAACATTTCCACTAATAACAATACACTATATGTTTAAGCAGACTCGGCAACAAGAGCACCATTAGCAACAACAGTTGCGTTCAGATCAGCCAGATTAGGTTCAAACTACGGAGTGTTTCTCATGCTAGAACACTAATTACGAGTACATCTGTATTTGATGTGCACCTGTCAATGACGTATGTCACATGACGTACCGCTCTAATCCTAACATATGGCAGACAACTTGTGCCTCTCTGTTCCCGAACCTGTCGTCACACACCGTGCCCCACGTGTTGTTGTAGAACACCTCCACACGACCATTCGACGTCGACGTCCCATTCACAAGGCGGACCGTCACGGTTGTTGCTGATACAAGATACATAGTTACTAGTGCTAAGTGACTGGCTGTATCGGGGACATCTGGATATGCTGGTAACACGGTTGCTCATCAAGTCACTTCACAAATATGGATCTTACATATGCGTTTTTTTCCAGTTATTTCGGGTTTTGTGGGTGGGGGTGGGGGTGGGGTGGCTTATTTGGCAAGAAAATTCACAATGTAATTATTTTGTGGTCTTAAACAAAAGTCACAGAGGTCGACATAACGTATCAAGCGTTTTTCACGGGAGTGAAATATCTGTTTTATGTCAGATAAAGTGTTTCACCACTAATCCACTATATTTATTAAAAACTCATGAACAGCTTCAGGTATGACATCATCCATGATAGCAACTTTGAGGCACCGGGGACAGCTGAACGTAGTGTCCCTCCATTGATATTTCCTTTGGTAGACCATGCACTGTGCAGGAATGTGAAGGTGCTACCTACCGGCCTGGCAGACCACTCCGGCATCCTCCCGCTGGTTACAGTTGCTCTGCCCCCAGGGGGCGTGCGTGCACTCCCCCAGAGACAGCTCGGACCCGTCACACTTAACATCGTCAAGTATAGTAGGAAGGTGTCCTTGACCAAAGAAGGACTGAAGCCGGGGCATTGCCCCGTCTCTAAAGGAAGAAAATTTTGCTTGATATATGCCACATTAATAATTCAATGTTGTCTTTTGCGTCAAGAATATGAACTTATAATTAATTTTACTTCAAATAAAAAACATAACAACATAACGCTGTTTTCCTTGACGTGATTCTGTGTGTTGAGATATATATTGATTTCAGATCTGCATGCCTCCTTGTGTGCACTATATTCTACTACTAAGCTACCGGGCAAAAGAAAGTCATCTCCGACTTCACTTGAACACAAAACAGAAACAAAGACGTATGTGAGACAAACAGAAATCATTTTCCAATAATTTGACTGAAAATTCATTGTATTGCTGGTCTTTCAACACTTCACCCCTGTATCGCTGGGCATTCAGATGTCCTCGCATGATAACCAGTCTTCTTGTGCTCTGGCCACAAATGTCACCCTTCTCCGTCGAACGGATGAACTTCTAGGGAGCATTTTGGCGCCAGTCGCTCTCCTCTACGTCGAAAAACTCGAACTCTCCATCGTTTCTAAACCGACTGACCCAACTTTCATCTGCGCACTCTCTCCCAGTCACGTGGCTGCCACCGACGTACAGTTCGTGCCCATTGCAGTCTGCTTGACGGTGTAGACGAGCAAAAGTCATTCCACGGAAGGGCGGTAGGCTCGTGTACCAGCGGTACTAAGTCGTCGAAGGACTGTTCGTCTGCTTATGGCGTGTACTGATGAACTGTCGCCGCCGTACCGCAGATGGATCTGCCGGATGTAGCGGTCTTCAGCCGGTGTCGTGACTCTTGGCTATGGGCGGTCTTGGGTCTGTTTGCTGGTACCGGTTTATCAATTTGCTGATTGAGGCCTGGCTGCAGTTGAAGGTTCTTGCCAGCTGACGTTGTGAAGTCCCCATATTGGCATACCGATCGCCCGGTCTCGTTCCGCGTGCGTAAGTTTTGGCATATTCGTGGTGGTGTTTTGGTTACTGCATGCCTGCTGTGTTCAATATCGGAAAAATGCACGATTCGTACGAAGTTTTCAGACAGCTGCGTTGTTATCGGGATCATGTTGCGTTTTGGCGAATATTTCTGCTTGGGTTTAAACCTGTAACAACGTGTTTCTTTTTTATACTATTACATTAAAAGTGATAACTTTCTTTTGTCTGCTAGTTTATGATACTAACGCAGGGAGTCCGAGCATTCGGCAAACGACTTGGGCGTCCATGTTGCTCCAGTAATCATCGCAAACAGTCCCCCAGCTACCATTGTAGTAGACCTCCACCCGACCTTCTGTATTCATAGCCCCACCAACCAACCGTACTGCGACACAGTCCCCAGTTGTGGAGCCATCTGTAACAACCAACAAGTCATGTGGCTGCAGTAAACATCAACTAACATGCCTCTCTGATGATAAATAATCATATAACATGTTCGTAGGCACACGTTTAAAATGTCCACTCGGAACGTTGGTAGATTGATGAACCATGTATGAGACTATTTCGATATATTCGTTATGTCGTTTGTAGACTACAGTTTTACCCAAATAAGGACAAGTAACATCAAATACTTGTAACGCTCTTTGTATTACCATTCCATATACAAGGTAAGGGTAGGTATACTGCAGATGGTCGCATTAATATTACACACACCTAGCTATTACATTCTGGTTATCAATGATTGGAGAATAGTATTTAGACAAAATCATTCAAGAAATAAGACGAAGCATCATCTGCACAGGGGTACACAACATATTCTGTTACATTCTTTGATCATTATTTATCAGGTAAAGGTTTTTGACAAACTCAAATTATAAGTATTAATATGAGACGTCTGAAAACGAACTAGATATATAACACGAGTCACGGTGTAAAGGCGTTCATCAGTTACATTCAGAAACTGTTTTTTTGTTATTGTTTGCTGATAATAGAGAGCCTGGTGGGCGATCTGTCTAAGGCGCCAGGCTAGTGATCCAGCTAGTTTAAGGTGACGGGATGGAGCCCAACTGTGATCCAGTGTAAAAACCTTGGAGTCAACTTTGTGTGCAGACTATTTCAGTGTTGTCACCGGTGTACAATACACAATCCTGTGCACTGTACCAGCGTCCCACGAATCCGTTGGTATATGACCAGATGGTGGCCACAGAAATATGTGTAAACACCCAGGTACGGGTACAGGAACGTTCAGTAAAACTTGGACAAAGTACTGTGACTATGTGTCCCAGGCCACCCCGCTGTGAATGGGTACCTCGTAAGGATGGGAAAGCCACCTTACCTTGGTGCGCCTAGTGTCTGCAACAGTTGTATGATCCCCAGGGAGGTGACATTGAAAATATGATGTGTCGTTAAGATTGACATCCAATGATCGAGGGAACCAAAGCGCCTTGAGCATGCATCTACATTGGATGCGCTAGAGGGCTATATAATGTTATAGTGTTACAATGATTCACTATATCCGGTTTACAAAATCAGTTAAAGGTGCTGGAACAATTGTGTGGATGTTGTGTTATCACTGAAGTTGTTGTCTTTATAAACGAAGGTAAGTCAGCAAGATGTATGATAATGGCTGACAACAGCATACACTTTAGAGATAAGCTGTTGGCACAGAGAAGGAATGGACTAAGATTATCACTGCAGTTAAACTCACCTGAACACAGGACTGACGCATCCTCATCATGTCGACAGCTGGACCGCCCCCAGCCCCTGTGCCCGCACTGGTTGAGGTTCGTCTCAGTTCCCTGACACATCAGATCATCAAGCCATATTGGACCTGACCCAGGGCCGTACGCTGCTCGGGCCACTGCCACAGAGCCGGATCTGTGACCCCAAGGGGAAATTACACACTTACCTGTAAGGCTACCTACTACTACTACTACTATTACTACTACTACTACTACTACTACTACTAGCAGTAGTAGTAGTAGGAGGAGGAGGAGGAGTTCATGTATGCTTCACCTATTGTGTTGTTCCAGTTTGCGCCGTGTGAATTTACTTTTTCAAGAAGAATACAGCATACTCTTGACCAGCATGCAGTCACCTACATGTATGTCGATGACAGATCTAGGTCTTGGCTCGCCGATGGAGTCAGTGAAGGTACATTGGTCAGCAAAATCAACTTTTCGAACTGAAGCCCCAAATGCATCTATATGTAGCTGACCATAACATGACATGGCGGCCGGCGTTACGTGACTGTATAACTGTGAAGGTGGAACTATCTCCACCTGGTGTGCCCTCTGGGAAACTATGTAGTTTTTACCTGGTGTGAAATTGATTTCTTTCTCAACGTTATTAAAGTAACATTGCAATGTTTGGTTCAGGGAAATGATACAGTTGAGAAGCTGTTACGCGGCGGCTGACACACAACGACAGCAGTGTAGTAGACTCGAGTCAACAAGTACAACAAGTACAACAAGTACAACAAGTACAACAAGGAGAATCTAGCAATTGAAACTTTCAGTTTTAACTTGCTTAACACTTGTAGTGAGTGAGTATGGTTTTACGCCGCTTTTAGCAATATTCCAACAATATCACGGCGGGGCACACCTGAAATGGGCTTCACACATTGAACCCATGTGGCGAATCAAACCCGGGTATTCAGCGTGACGAGCGGACGCTTTAACCATTAGGCTACCCCAACGCCCCTCACTTGTGATGAAAAATGTCTAAGTGGTAATTACGCATTGTATCCAAGCGACCGACAGATAACGGCAGCTTCTTTTCCGCCGAAGTTGTCGTCGCACACCGTGCCCCAGGTGTTGTTGTAGAAGACTTCGACTCGGCCCTCAGATGGCGTGGCGCCTCCAGCAAGACGGACTGCGGTCATGTTGGCAGTGGCTAGAACAGGCATACCCTTGTGTCAAGCTTGATTACAATCTGTCTACTGAAGTCCTACATGCATTTAATGCTGTTTCTTATTACGACAATATAGTATTCGATACTGAAGCATGGAAAACATTCTGGAGCACATCACGTTAAGTAGGTCTGATTATATTGAATTATCTTTCTTCTAAAGATAGACGTTGCGTTTAGGAATTGGTTGAGGACTCCACATGTCACCGCGTTTATATTTGCACTGAATACCAAATTTTAGATTTTAGATACGTCAAACGAGCTGTTTGCCTGCTACATCGGAAGCCCATACTCAAACCTTTCCTCCGGCTCTCCACTCTGCTCCCACTGAAATGTGTTTCCTTCGGCTCTACTTTCCAATAAAACTGAAATGTGTTTCCTCCGGCTCTACTCCCCCCTCCCACTGAAATGTGTTTCCTTCGGCTCTGCTTTCCCCTCCCACTGAAATGTGTTTCCTCCGGCTCTACTTTCCCTCCCACTGAAATGTGTTTCCTCCGGCTCTACTCTCCCCTCCCACTGAAATGTGTTTCCTCCGGCTCTACTTTCCCCTACCACTGAAATGTGTTTCCTCCGGCTCTACTCTCCCCTCCCACTGAAATGTGTTTCCTCCGTCTCTACTTTCCCCTACCACTGAAATGTGTTTCCTCCGTCTCTACTTTCCCCTACCACTGAAATGTGTTTCCTCCGGCTCTACTTTCTCCTCCCACTGAAATGTGTTTCCTCCGGCTTTACTCCCCCCTCCCACTGAAATGTGTTTCCTCCGGCTTTACTCTCCCCTCCCACTGAAATGTGTTTCCTCCGGCTCTACTTTCCCCTCCCACTGAAATGTGTTTCCTCCGGCTCTACTTTCCCCTCCCACTGAAATGTGTTTCCTCCGGCTCTACTCTCCCCTCCCACTGAAATGTGTTTCCTCCGGCTCTACTTTCCCCTACCACTGAAATGTGTTTCCTCCGGCTCTACTCTCCCCTCCCACTGAAATGTGTTTCCTCCGTCTCTACTTTCCCCTACCACTGAAATGTGTTTCCTCCGTCTCTACTTTCCCCTACCACTGAAATGTGTTTCCTCCGGCTCTACTTTCTCCTCCCACTGAAATGTGTTTCCTCCGGCTTTACTCCCCTCCCACTGAAATGTGTTTCCTCCGGCTTTACTCCCCTCCCACTGAAATGTGTTTCCTCCGGCTCTACTTTCCCCTCCCACTGAAATGTGTTTCCTCCGGCTCTACTTTCCCCTCCCACTGAAATGTGTTTCCTCCGGCTCTACTCTCCCCTCCCACTGAAATGTGTTTCCTCCGGCTCTACTTTCCCCTCCCACTGAAATGTGTTTCCTCCGTCTCTACTTTCCCCTACCACTGAAATGTGTTTCCTCCGGCTCTACTTTCCCCTACCACTGAAATGTGTTTCCTCCGGCTCTACTTTCCCCTCCCACTGAAATGTGTTTCCTTCGGCTCTACTTTCCAATAAAACTGAAATGTGTTTCCTTCGGCTCTACTTTCCCTCCCACTGAAATGTGTTTCCTTCGGCTCTGCTTTCCCCTCCCACTGAAATGTGTTTCCTCCGGCTCTACTTTCCCCTCCCACTGAAATGTGTTTCCTCCGGCTCTACTCTCCCCTCCCACTGAAATGTGTTTCCTCCGGCTCTACTCTCCCCTCCCACTGAAATGTGTTTCCTCCGGCTCTACTCTCCCCTCCCACTGAAATGTGTTTCCTCCGGCTCTACTTTCCAATAAAACTGAAATGTGTTTCCTCCGGCTCTACTCTCCCCTCCCACTGAAATGTGTTTCCTCCGGCTCTACTTCCCCACCCCCACCCCATAGAAAAGGGTTTCTTCCGGCTCTACTCTCCCCTCCCACTTAAATGTTTTTCCCCCGGCTCTACCCTCCCCTCCCACTGACAAAATATGTGCACCCTGACCTTCCCCCCAGTTAGGCCCGGCTATTAACGTATGGTATCAACAATCGTCTGAACGTTAGGAAAGGTCTGCGACCACTGACTGACTTTGTCTGCTTCAACAAACCTCACCTGCTTGACAAATGACTCCCGCATCATGAGAATGTTGACACTGGTTAACTGTCCATCTTGGGAACTTGCACAATCCAAGATCTTCCTCGGTGCCAACGCAGTCCACATTACCCAACAAGACTGATCCAGAACCTTGGCCGAAACCCGCGTTGGAAATGGACACGGCATTGCCACTGAAGATAAGGCAAAGGATAAGGTTGAACAACTTAGCGTCTTGACAGCCCTTTGACAGATAATTACCAGTTAGTGGAATTACTGGACATTTTTTATATGTTAACCGTAAGTAAAATGAGGCCTCCAAGGGCACAAGTCAGGGAAAAGATAACCCGTTTATTCAACACAGGAAAATGTATAACATTGAAAGGTGAAGGCTGAGTTAATATATTTGGAATGTTTCAAAATCAGCATATTTTGTCTTCTGAAAACGTGTATAAAGTAAGGAATCACATCTCGTATAAATGATTATGATATATAAACATGACAATATTTGTGCAGTTTATTGGAGGTGGCCGGTGCATACCTTCTCAACTCCAGATCCGGAATGATAACATTTGTGTAATTTAATGTTGCTAGCGAGTGTTTACCCGCCCAACTACAACAGTTTACACTGATATACCTCCAACAATATAACGCTGATATACTCCAACAATATAACGCTGATATACCTCCAACAATATAACGCTGATATATACCTCCAACAATATAACGCTGATATACCTCCAACAATATAACGCTGATATACCTCCAACAATATAACGCTGATAGGCCTCCAACAATATAACGCTGATATACCTCCAACAATATAACGCTGATATCCTCGAACAATATAACGCTGATAGGCTCCAACAATATAACGCTGATATACAACTCCAACAATATAAATATAACGCTGATATACCTCCAACAATATAACGCTGATATATCCTAGAACAATATAACGCTATATACCTCCAACAATATAACGCTGATACTTCCAACAATATAACGCTGATATACCTCCAACAATATAACGCTGATATAACTCCTCCAACAATATAACGCTGATATACCTCCAACAATATGATAGATATACCTCCAACAATATAACTCCAACAATATAACGCTGATATACCTCCAACAATATAACGCTGATATATCCCTCTGATATATCCTAACGCTGATATCCTCGAAAATATAACGCAATATAACGCTGATAGGCTCCAACAATATAACGCTGATATACCTCCAACAATATAACGCTGATAGGCTCCAACAATATAACGCTGATAGGCTCCAACAATATAACGCTGATATACCTCCAACAATATAACGCTGATAGGCTCCAACAATATAACCCTGATATACCTCCAACAATATAACGCTGATATCCTCGAACAATATAACGCTGATAGGCTCCAACAATATAACGCTGATATACCTCCAACAATATAACGCTGATATACCTCCAACAATATAACGCTGATATACTCCAACAATATAACGCTGATATACCTCCAACACTATAACGCTGATTTACCTCCAACAATATAACGCTGATATACTCCAACAATATAACGCTGATATACCTCCAACAATATAACGCTGATATATACCTCCAACAATATAACGCTGATATACCTCCAACAATATAACGCTGATATACCTCCAACAATATAACGCTGATATCTGATATACCTCCAACAATATAACTGCTCGAACAATATAACGCTGATAGGCTCCAACAATATAACGCTGATATACCTCCAACAATATAACGCTGATATACCTCCAACAATATAACGCTGATATACTCCAACAATATAACGCTGATATACCTCCAACACTATAACGCTGATTTACCTCCAACAATATAACGCTGATATACTCCAACAATATAACGCTGATATACCTCCAACACTATAACGCTGATATACCTCCAACAATATAACGCTGATATACTCCAACAATATAACGCTGATATACCTCCAACACTATAACGCTGATATACCTCCAACACTATAACGCTGATATACCTCCAACACTATAACGCTGATTTACCTCAACAATATAACGCTGATATACCTAATGGCAACTTCATCGTCAGATATCAATCGTTTACATGTCCCTTACACATTTCTCGTTTATTACAGATCGAGCGCATTCGCATAATTTGCAATCCAAAAACGGATGGAGCAGGTGCCCCAAACTTCATTCACTCTTCCATATCTCGTAATATGTGTTAGGTCATAAAGCACATAGTGAGGTTGTATATCCTTCTGTTTGGATATAGTATTGTATTGCACGTACAACGATAGGTTGAGCATCCTGCAGACAACTGCCGCGTCTGCCGCGTCCCAGAGACTGTCACACACAGTCCCCCACACACCGCCGTGGAACACCTCCACGCGGCCCTCGACCTGGGAGCTGCCGTTCTCCAGACGGACCTGCACAGTCACATTCTGCTCTGAAATCAAATCAATGTCATCTTGAGGAACATTTATCTACTTTTTAAAATGTTTTAGTAAAACTATGTGCAACAACGCCGACCTCAAGTAACTTTGCGCTGATGTTGCGCAGACACTTTGATAATCACGGTATTCGAAATGGGCTGCCGCGCTGTCATCAAGTATGTGTCCATATACAAGGGCTAAGTACAACAGTAATCCATGTTTACATGAGATCATCATTAGGTGATGGCGTTCCTTCCTCCATCCTAGGTTAGCTTTGACCGTTTTCGTCATTCCTTCTACAGACGCCCAAATTTGAATGACCAAAAGAGTAATATCGACATTAGTACGCGACATTATTGAACACTGATGAATACAGATGTATTGTTATTAAAGTGTAGATCTCTTGACGGGATTGATCCTCTATCCTCATATCTCATGGTATGTATCAGCTGGGATAGTCTCCAGTCAGTATGGCGGATTGATGTATTTGTTGCCGATTGTCGGCAGTGTATACACCACGATAACACAGGTAGGGACACTTATGCTATTACTGGTTATCCAGATACTCACTGGGTTGACACTTGACACCGACATCTTCCCTATGTGAACAGTCGTTGACGCCCCAGGGGTGGTGGGTACAGTTGTCCACAGACGTTTCAGTACCGTTACAGACCATATCATCAAGCCAGATTGGGCCGGTTCCTGCTGCGTACATGTCATCACCCAATACGAGTCCTCTACAACATTTAGGGAACAGTCACCATCATACACGTGTCCTCTACAACAACATTTAGGGAACAGTCACCACCTAACACGTGTCCTCTACACCAACATTTAGGGAACAGTCACCATCATACACGTGTCCTCTACAACAACATTTAGGGAACAGTCACCACCTAACACGTGTCCTCTACACCAACATTTAGGGAACAGTCACCACCCAACACGTGTCCTTTACACCAACATTTAGGGAACAGTCACCACCCTACACGCCCTCTACAACAACATTTAGGCAACAGTCACCACCCAACACGTGTGCTTTACAACAACATTTAGGGAACAGTCACCACCCTATACGTGTCCTCTACAACAATATTTAGGGAACAGTCACCACCCTACACGCCCTCTACAACAACATTTAGGCAACAGTCACCACCCAACACGTGTCCTTTACACCAACATTTAGGGAACTGTCACCACCCTATACGTGTCCTCTACACCAACATTTAGGGAACAGTCACCACCTAACACGCCCTCTACAACAACATTTAGGCAACAGTCACCACCCAACACGTGTCCTTTACACCAACATTTAGGGAACAGTCACCACCCTACACGCCCTCTACAACAACATTTAGGCAACAGTCACCACCCAACACGTGTGCTTTACACCAACATTTAGGGAACAGTCACCATCATGCACGTGTCCTCTACACCAACATTTAGGGAACAGTCACCATCATACACGTGTCCTCTACAACAACATTTAGGGAACAGTCACCACCCAACACGTGTCCTCTACAACAACATTTAGGGAACACTCACCACCCTACACGTGTCCTCTACAACAATATTTAGGGAAAAGTCACCACCCTATACGTGTCCTATACAACAACATTTAGGGAACAGTCACCACCCAACACGCCCTCTACAACAACATTTAGGCAACAGTCACCACCCAACACGTGTGCTTTACAACAACATTTAGGGAACACTCACCACCCTACACGCCCTCTACAACAACATTTAGGCAACAGTCACCACCCAACACGTGTCCTTTACACCAACATTTAGGGAACAGTCACCACCCTACACGCCCTCTACAACAACATTTAGGCAACAGTCACCACCCAACACGTGTGCTTTACAACAACATTTAGGGAACAGTCACCACCCTATACGTGTCCTCTACAACAACATTTAGGGAACAGTCACCACCCTACACGCCCTCTACAACAACATTTAGGCAACAGTCACCACCCAACACGTGTCCTTTACACCAACATTTAGGGAACTGTCACCACCCTATACGTGTCCTCTACAACAACATTTAGGCAACAGTCACCACCCAACACGTGTCCTTTACACCAACATTTAGGGAACAGTCACCACCCAACACGTGTGCTTTACAACAACATTTAGGGAACACTCACCACCCTACACGCCCTCTACAACAACATTTAGGCAACAGTCACCACCCAACACGTGTCCTTTACACCAACATTTAGGGAACAGTCACCACCCTACACGCCCTCTACAACAACATTTAGGCAACAGTCACCACCCAACACGTGTGCTTTACAACAACATTTAGGCAACAGTCACCACCCAACACGTTTCCTCTACAACAACATTTAGGCAACAGTCACCACCCAACACGTGTCCTCTACACCAACATTTAGGGAACAGTCACCACCCTATACGTGTCCTCTACACCAACATTTAGGGAACAGTCACCACCTAACACGGGTCCTCTACACCAACATTTAGGGAACAGTCACCACCCAACACGTGTCCTCTACACCAACATTTAGGGAACAGTCACCACCCAACACGTGTCCTCTACAACAACATTTCGGGAACAGTCACCACCCTACACGTGTCCTCTACAACAACATTTAGGGAACAGTCACCACCCAACACGTGTCCTCTACAACAACATTTAGGGAATAGTCACCACCCTATACGTGTCCTCTACAACAACATTTAGGGAACAGTCACCACCCTATACGTTTCCTCTACACAAGCATTTAGGGAACAGTCACCACCCTACACGCCCTCTACAACAACATTTAGGGAACAGTCACCACCCTACACGCCCTCTACAACAACATTTAGGGAACAGTCACCACCCAACACGTGTCCTTTACAACAACATTTAGGGAACACTCACCACCTTACACGTCCTCTACAACATTTAGGGAACAGTCACCACCCAATACGTGTCCTCTACAACAACATTTAGGGAACAGTCACCACCCTATACGTGTCCTCTACAACAACATTTAGGGAACAGTCACCACCCAACACGTCTCCTCTACACCAACATTTAGGGAACAGTCACCACCCAACACGTCCTCTACACCAACATTTAGGGAACAATCACCACTCAACACATGTCCTCTGCAATTAAATTTAGGCAACAGTGACCACCCAACACGTGTCCTCTACAACAACATTCAGCTGGATCTCCCAACAGCTACACAGTCACCCAGGTCGGTACATTGTAACGGGGAGCCTATAGCAGCTGGATCTCCCTACAGCCACACGGTCAGCCAGGTCGGTACATTGTAACGGAGACTATAGCAGCTGGATCTCCCTACAGCCACACGGTCAGCCAGGGCGGTACATTGTAACGGGGAGACTATAGCAGCTGGATCTCCCTACAGCCACCCACTCAGCCAGGTCGGTACATTGTAACGGGAGACTATAGCAGCTGGATCTCCCTACAGCCACCCAGTCAGCCAGGTCGGTACATTGTAACGGGAGACTATAGCAGCTGGATCTCCCTACAGCCACCCACTCAGCCAGGTCGGTACATTGTAACGGAGACTATAGCAGCTGGATCTCCCTACAGCCACCCAGTCAGCCAGGTCGGTACATTGTAACGGGAGACTATAGCAGCTGGATCTCCCTACAGCCACCCAGTCAGCCAGGTCGGTACATTGTAACGGGAGACTATAGCAGCTGGATCTCCCTACAGCCACCCACTCAGCCAGGTCGGTACATTGTAACGGAGACTATAGCAGCTGGATCTCCCTACAGCCACACGGTCAGCCAGGGCGGTACATTGTAACGGGGAGACTATAGCAGCTGGATCTCCCTACAGCCACACGGTCAGCCAGGTCGGTACATTGTAACGGGAGACTATAGCAGCTGGATCTCCCTACAGCCACACGGTCAGCCAGGGCGGTACATTGTAACGGGGAGACTATAGCAGCTGGATCTCCCTACAGCCACCCACTCAGCCAGGTCGGTACATTGTAACGGGAGACTATAGCAGCTGGATCTCCCTACAGCCACCCAGTCAGCCAGGTCGGTACATTGTAACGGAGACTATAGCAGCTGGATCTCCCTACAGCCACCCACTCAGCCAGGTCGGTACATTGTAACGGGAGACTATAGCAGCTGGATCTCCCTACAGCCACCCAGTCAGCCAGGTCGGTACATTGTAACGGAGACTATAGCAGCTGGATCTCCCTACAGCCACCCACTCAGCCAGGTCGGTACATTGTAACGGGAGACTATAGCAGCTGGATCTCCCTACAGCCACCCACTCAGCCAGGTTGGTACATTGTAACGGAGACTATAGCAGCTGGATCTCCCTACAGCCACCCACTCAGCCAGGTCGGTACATTGTAACGGAGACTATAGCAGCTGGATCTCCCTACAGCCACACAGTCAGCCAGGTCGGTACATTGTAACGGGAGACTATAGCAGCTGGATCTCCCTACAGCCACCCACTCAGCCAGGTCGGTACATTGTAACGGAGACTATAGCAGCTGGATCTCCCTACAGCCACCCACTCAGCCAGGTCGGTACATTGTAACGGAGACTATAGCAGCTGGATCTCCCTACAGCCACACGGTCAGCCAGGGCGGTACATTGTAACGGGGAGACTATAGCAGCTGGATCTCCCTACAGCCACACGGTCAGCCAGGTCGGTACATTGTAACGGGAGACTATAGCAGCTGGATCTCCCTACAGCCACCCACTCAGCCAGGGCGGTACATTGTAACGGGGAGACTATAGCAGCTGGATCTCCCTACAGCCACACGGTCAGCCAGGTCGGTACATTGTAACGGAGACTATAGCAGCTGGATCTCCCTACAGCCACACGGTCAGCCAGGGCGGTACATTGTAACGGGGAGCCTATAGCAGCTGGATCTCCCTACAGCCACCCACTCAGCCAGGTCGGTACATTGTAACGGGAGACTATAGCAGCTGGATCTCCCTACAGCCACACAGTCAGCCAGGGCGGTACATTGTAACGGGGAGACTATAGCAGCTGGATCTCCCAACAGCGGATACTGAGATGCACTCTGTTTTCGGGCCTTCGCTGATTCAAAGGCAAAGTTGTTTATGCTTATGATTTCAACAACATTTTAACAAAAAAAATCAATGAACCCTCCTTCATAAAACACGGTCTGGGTTTGCCTGGCTGTCAGAAACAGTTACAGAAGAAAAGAAATAAAGAGTTATGTTAAAGTATTGTGTATATTTCTATATTTCAATGCACGAAAGCATGTATATGGTTCTAATGACGGCTTACGAACTGTATCCCAACATTCTGCAGACGACAGTAGCTTCTCTTTTGTCAAAGCTGTCATCGCAGACAGTACCCCATAGCCCGAATAGCTGCAGCTCCACGCGGCCCTGATACTGGTCCAGGCCATCCGATAGACGTACCTTCAACCCAGTGCCACTCGCTGAAACAGATAACTCCTGTTTAGACATCATCAAGCCATCCTAATTTGATTAATAACTCACAAGGTGCGACTATGACTCAGATACTTGATGATCTTTGTTAGTAAGTGTCCCGTCACACATACAATGCACAAGTATTTATCAGAAGCTGGCTACGTACGTTTATCAAGTAACCGTCAGACGGGACACTGTGCATGGCCGTGTAAGACCATGCGTTAGATAATCGATAACAGAAATGAATGGAGTAGATGCTAACATGGCACTGGAAGACAGATGACGCCTGCGTTCTCCGTGTTGTGGCACTTGTTGGATCCCCAAGGTTTGTGATCGCAGGCTCCAAGGCCGGTCTCGCTCCCGGTGCATCGCACGTCGTCTAACCACACTGGCTGGTTGGGAACACCCGAGCCATTGGTGAAGTAGGAATTAGTCAGTGGCACAGCATAAACACTGCACAGAGGAGTAGAGAAAGGATGAGCCAGTAGGCACATCAGCAGCAAGTTACATAAGTGTTCTTACATGACTGTTACTGGCAACTACAATGGTATATATGAGTAAAACATACGAAAATTAAACTATTGAATTTTGTGTTCATATGACTTAGATATGACTTAGATGATGACGTCTGTCCCAGACAGGGACAGTGAAACTGATGACACGCCTGACATGCCACCCCAATTACCAGCTGAAGCCTGGGTACTGAAAGTAACGAATTGAAATCAAGTGGCGCGTCTCGATCTGGTGAAAATCTCTCATAACCTAACCCCGGATAAAGTTTAATTATTCCCAGCTTCCAATGTGCACGACAACGAGGTACGACTGTACATGTCATATAGTAGCGACGATTAACATATACTCATGCCAAAAATGGTTGTCACCCCCCCCCCCCCCCTCTCCAATTAAAACATTAGAACGGGTGACAACCATTATTGGCATGAGTATATATGTCCTCCGTCCCAGATCCCCTCGACACGCCCTCCGACTACAGGCAACAAGGAGTGATCTCCTGTACTCACTTGGAGAACCCCATTTGCCTGCAGACGACGGCAGCATCCTTGTCATCCCACTCGTCGTCACAGACAGTACCCCACTGACCCTGGTGTTGAATCTCCACACGACCCATCAGACCTGAAGTACCTCCTGTAATCTGGACGGGTATGTCCGTCTCCATGTCTACAACACGTAAAGATAGGTGTAAGACTTCAAATACCCACAGCCTTCGATATTACTGAAAACTATGAAGAAGATGTACCTGGATCACAGTCCACTCCTGCGTCGTTGTTGTGGGTACAGTCGGTGACAGCCCAGGGTTTCAGAAGGCAATCTGTCAGCCTAGCCTCACTTCCAGTACAGCTAAAGTCATCCAGCCAGATAACCCCTCCACCAGGCCCATAGTACGATCCTCCATGGGGTGTAAACAATGAACTAGGGACATGATTAGGACATTTGTTAATTGAAAGCAAACCTTTAAGTCATAAGTATATATGGTCGTTTTGGTATCTATTACAGAACTGTAAAGAGCATGGGTCGGGTGATTCATATGTTTTAAGTCTCACAAAGAAAGACGTGACGTGATACAATTAGAATATACAGTAGAACACGGATATAGCGAACACGGATAAAGCGTACAAACGGATATAGCGAACAAATTTAAAAGTCCCGTCAACAGTCCTTTATAATATCATTAAAATTATACGCGAATAACGAACTCGTGAGTAGCGAATTAACGGCTATAGCGAACTGATTTACTACCCCCAAGCCCAACTAACGACGTGATTAGCGAACTCACTCAGTGTCAGCTCAGCCACTTAGCGGTATACATCAACCTTGTTGAATTTTAATGTTATGTCAATGTACATGTACAAGAATAAATATTTGTAGCCTCAGCATATACGTGTCTCTACATCTCTACAATCCAAGATGGCGGTCAAATGTACATATTTACAGCATAGTCCCCTTCCATATTTATATACACTTGCCAACCATGATGTGTGTTTTCTCTCGTTTCGTACACGTCCTTCCCCTGTCTGTCGAAGACGTCCTCTTTACAACTGCTGTGTCATCATCGTTGATCCGAAATGAGTTCCGGTTGGAGCTGTTTTAATGTTTGGGGACAGGTGGAAGTCTGTCGAAGCCATATCAAGAGATTACGGTGGGTGCTGAAGGATTTCAAATTCACACTGATGGATTGTGGACATAGACTGCCTGAGTGGAGCATTGTCCTAATGAAAGAGCACGCCTTTTCCAAGCTTCCAACTTTTGTAAGTTTAAACTTCGTCCCGAAATCGTGAAGCATAAACGATCCGTACATGCTCTGTGTCAGACGCTTCCTGTGTTTTGATTGATGTTTGGAAGTGGTAAACGCAGGTTTCATGTCGCGCTACACTTTCCAGGTCAGCTTCAAACATGGCTAGGTGATCACGAAAGACATGTTGTGGTTGATGCGTTTCTATTAAATGTCAGAAGCGTTGGGAAACAACGAACTGTTATTTGTTTTAGTGCCAAAGAGTCTGTGATGAAGGAAGTCCCTTGAGGGTAGCTGCTGAGCCGAGACTCCCATCCTCACTAAATGATTAACGACAACGATACCCTTGACAATCTACGCAAAATATCTTTTCATTAGAACTTAACCATATCTTCAAACATTAACATAGTTCTTACCCTGTATACCCCAGCTGGCGACAGACTACGGTGGCAGCGTTGTTATCAAAGGTGTCATCACATATTGTTCCCCAAGTGCCGTTATGATAGATTTCCAGGCGTCCTGCCGACTGCCGGTCTAGATCTGGTGGGGCCACGAGTCTCAATGAGTTCTCTTGTTGTCCTGAAAAGTACACATTAGGATATTTCACTTTGTTTGGCCCGTGATCAATGTTGAAAGAGATCAATATTTGTCCATCTATTACTTAATACCTCGTTTTCTAAAATTAATCCGCATTTACACTATCAACTAACTATTCTGCAAACATTCACTCCGTGAGGTGTTATTTAGGAGATAAATTTCATTTAAAACCGAACGCGTAGCGTGAGGTTTTAAAAGAACAATTTAGAGCTATTATAATTTCGTTATATACTGACTGACTGACTGAATTGCATTATTAGTTTTACGCCGCTTTTAGCAATATTCCAGGAATATTACGACGGAAACGGGCTTCACACATTGTACCCATGTGGGGATTCGAACCCGGGTCTTCGGCGTGACGAGCCAACGCTTTAACCACGCTACCCCACCGCCCCCGTTATATACCTCTGATTTTCCAACACAGTAGGTTTGTCTCCATTCTACCATGACAATTTTATGAACAATTTCAGGTGGAACTCTTTCTTTGGTTACGAGTCAAAACGTGAAGCGGCCTCGCATTCCAATCTCAAGTGGAACCGGCCGAAACGGGGTGATTGGTGGCAAACCGTCAATGACTAGCAAACTCCAGATTCAGTAATAACAAATCACGTTTTGTTTTTTCAATGTATCAATCATCAATCATTAACTGATAAGTTGGAAAACATATATCAAATAAGTTAAAAAGCTTGGTTCACATTTGAAAATTCCACCTTGGACCCTTTCCCCACCAGAATAATGGCAACAACCTCATGGCCTTGACCTTTTCTCGGAAGTCATTGTTTACATTTACGTGCAAATTTGGAAAGATGCGACAGGAGAGCCTCAGACAGTTTGCGCAGGGTTAACCTGATTGGTTGACTGAGATAGTCTTTGATATCTAATTACTGGTACTGGTATAAAATTTAAGAGTAGAGGCGCTTTTGCTGTAACGAGAAGTCCGTGTTGTACCGAATTTAGATACTGTTGAATTTTGCGCCCTGTCAACTTGACTATTTCACGCACCTCTACGTCTGCGTGCGACAGCTGTGGTGACTCTTACACACTCATGTGTGTACTTTGTGCTCAAATTCGATTCTACGGATATTATTTTCTACAGTTTGGAAAGTGTTTTGTGACCTAGTGGCTTCAAAGTGTAGTGAATTCAAATTGAATCGGATTCACTGGCATGTTCGCGAGTCTGTTGACAAAGAGCCAGATTTGTGGTGATATTTCCGAAAGGATGGATCAGGACATGAGGGTGTACCTCTGGCATAAACACGGTAAGGTAATTAATTATACTTTAATAGACTACTTTAGATCAAGCAGTGTAATGGATAAGAGGGATCATGACTAAGCTACATAACTTTTTCAACGATATTATACTTTTAGAAAAAACATATGTTAGGGTAAACAGAACGGTTTGCAGATTCTCCAATTGTGTTTTACTACCGCTAAATTTGAAACAGTATAAATTTCAAAATATCATTTTGTTTGAATTGATAACCCAACTGTTTATGTATGTGGACGGAAGGCATTAAAATTTCTTCGGCGTTCGATGTTAATGCATCCTCCGTTACCGGATCAAGATCAGTGGCGATATCGTTGACGAAAGCTGATAATAAATTTAACACGGAAATTATATAGCAGTCTATTGCTGGATCTATTCTGACATAACATAGAATCATGGTAAACATATTTGTTTTTGCTGAATTTTTATTCGGAAAGCAGACGATGTTTTGATCTTGTTCGACTGAATATTTGTTTCCATGCTTTCGAAGTACTTTTGTATGTATAAACACCTATTGCTGTGATTTACGCAAGTGGTGAGTCGAGCCCGTCATCGCTAAATCCATCTTTAAAGACATATGTGTAATTTCCGACAGCAAAATCGCCGTAATTTATCGATGCATCGGTAGGTTGTTTGGTGTCCGCCATGTTGGTGGGCAGACAAAAATAGTGCATTACCGTAAACCATGTATGATTGCGCACGGAAAATCAGAGACCTGTATAACGTGATTATATACCTCTGAATGACTATAATTAACCAATCACAATCCAGTGTTTACTGAAGTCATGGTAGAATGAGTGTTTGACATCTACCAAACTCGCGCTCGAGGTCTTACTTTCCCAACCATAACCTCGGAGTCGTGCTTTATCCTACACGTAAACTTACGAAATAACATCGATTTTCAGATTTCACATCATAAACGAATTCGGTATTCAGAAGTGGCAGTGATTCATTTCTTCACAATTGGTTTCTATTTTAACCGTGTGACAACACGTACTTCACACTGTGTATTTATTATAGTTGAACCGCGTAGGTTTCATTCGAAATACTGAAGCACATTTCCAGGCTTCCCTGTGTCCTCACATATTTGCTTTGATACCCAGGTTAAATAAAATGATAAAAGCTAAGCATGTTGGACAGAATCTCAACGTCAGTGTTGATTTGCTGACAGAAGCGAAGGAAAGCGAACGACTGTTGCACTGTGTTGAGGAGAAGACACAACCCTGCTGAGTCCTTCGCTGGGATGAAGACGGCTGGCCTGAAAAGCGAAACACTGTTTGCTGCTCAGGATCAGCCACTTCCCACTAGTAACCGTCTATGTGTGATGTTACGTCAAAATGGAACAATGAAATGTAGATTGCGTAATGAAAATAATGAGACTGTCCAACAGCTTTTTTGATGATGCCCCACATTTGTACAGATACAGTATATTCAGGGACATGATGGCGCTGTTCGGTCCTTGTATTACAGTCTACCACACGCTTGTACCTTTGACTCTGACGTCCATCCATGGTACGACCGAGAATAAGTAGAGGGTGTCATGGACAATTCTTTGGAATAGGCCCATGCAGTCTCGGGCATATCCAAGTTAACAAACCCGATCTTGTCCTATTTAATAAAACCAATGAATTATGTCCCCAAACATGAATTTCCTTTGGGCAGCCGACTAACCATTGTCCACGTGCTTTGGTTTGGTACTCCCTGATCTCTTGGCGCAGATCAGGAAAATGCAAGGGGTCTCCATTTGGGGCACAACCCTTCTGACGCTCTAGGTAATGCAGAAGGCTACAGTGTTGAGGAGTCTCCATATCCTCCCGAAAGTTCAATGGGTTCGACTTGGCAGTGAAGTTCATTAGAAGCCTCACCTCCAACACTCAACCTTTACTGAGTCTGTGTTGTGTGTTGTTTACTTCAGACTGGTGGACCCTAATACCAACCAGTAGGTTGTGTGTTGGTATGTGTGGAAGAAAGGCCAGGTGTTGGTCATATACTACTTTCGTAAAACCCATGATCAATGGTATAGGGTGATGCCAAATCAGGATTCACTGCTGTTATGAATTGTGATCGTTACGTACTGGATTATCTCGAAAACTCGGATTGTGTTGCTCTGTTTACATTTGTACTGGGAAACATACCTTGTGTGAGACACCACGACAGTAACAGCACTGTAAGCGATGACCAGTCGACGTGGTGTGACATACTCAGTGGACAGCATACAAGTCGGTCACAGGAACTCACAGGTATGTGCGCCACAGCCGACAGACAGTGTATGTTAGAGTAAGCAAGTTAGGCAGTCAAATATTGAGGTGCGAAGGTTGTCAGTGATAACCAGATCGAGATACCATATCTCCCGACTGTGGGACACTGCTGTGGTTTGAGGGCGCAATCTCGTCATGAAAGGCTAACTTGTTGTCATGAGAAAGGTATGTGGTGTAATAGCAATTAGGTTTCCGTTATCCGATTTGGCGATATACGAGCTGGCTGCTTTACAGTTATATAACCTACTGCGTAAAGAGCTTTTGCGTCATATAATTGATGTTACATTTCAGTGCTATTTTACCAGCGTCCATTTAACAGATGAAAAACTTACTAGTTTCATTTTCATTTGGGCAGACACTTCCGCGTGCAGCTGCAACACACCGCCCATAGCCCCGCACTTGAGGTGCGGTTTTATCAGGAAGACAGAGATACATATTGACAGTGTTTCATATAAGGAAGCAGATAAATAATGTTTTAATATACATTGCCTTTGAAAACGCCATTGCTTAATCACAGAAAGGAACCAAATTTAATTATGCCACAAGTTTTGATTTTTCAACATTGTACACCACTACACCACAGTTTATTTGAAGGAAATAAACAATGAATATCTGAAATCAAATCATTCATAAAGCATAATTGAATTATAAACCAAGTATCTTGACTAAGACTGTTTTGTACTACACGTGTTCCAGAAACTCCAGAGAATATACAATGTTATTCAGAAAGTGGTAAATGTAACACTTGTTATTTTTGGGATTACGCTTTCTCAGTGTGCTGGCGATTATGTGCCTGACCCTTGGGGTGTGGGTTCAAATCCTGGATGGGACTGTACTTTACTGAGAAAGTGTAATCCCAAATATAAACTACCGAGACTTAATGAGCAGATATGCCATCACGTGACCTGACAGCATAGATAGAGTCACCTGAATAGAGGACTACAGACAGCATAGATACAATCACCTGAATAGAGGACTACAGACAGCATAGATACAGTCACCTGAATAGAGGACTACAGGCATCATAGATACAGTCACCTGAATAGAGACCTACAGATAGCATAGATAGAGTCACCTGAATAGAGTCCTACAGACAGTATAAATAGAGTCACCTGAATTGACGCGTACAGACAGCATAAATAGAGTCACCTGAATAGAGGCCTACAGACAGCATATAAACAGTCACCTGAATAGAGACCTACAGATAGAATAGATACAGTCGCCTGAATGGAGGACTACAGACAGCATAGATACAGTCACCTGAATAGAGGCCTACAGACAGCATATATGCTGTCACCTGAATAGAGGACTACAGACAGCATAGATACAATCACCTAAATAGAGGCCTACAAACAGCATAGATAGAGTCACCTGAATAGAGGACTACAGACAGCATAGATTCAGTCACCTGATTAGAGGCTTACAGACAGCATAGATACAGTCACATAGAGGCTTACAGACAGCATAGGTACTGTCACCTGAATGGAGGACTACAGACAGCATAGATACAGTCACCTGAATAGAGGACTACAGGCAGCATAGATAGAGTCACCTGAATAGAGAACTACAGAGAGCATAGCTAAAGTCACCTGAATAGAGGACTACAGACAGCATAGCTACAGTCACCTGAATAGAGGCCTACAGACAGCATAGATAGAGTCACCGGAATAGAGGCCTACAGACAGCATATATACAGTCACCTGAATAGAGGCCTACAGATAGAATAGATACAGTCGCCAGAATAGAGGACTACAGACAGCATAGATACAGTCACCTGAATAGAGGCCTACAGACAGCATAGATACAGTCACCTGAATAGAGGCCTACAGACAGCATAGATACAATCACCTAAATAGAGGCCTACAAACAGCATAGATACAATCACCTCAGTAGAGGACTACAGACAGCATAGATTCAGTCACCTGAATAGAGGCCTACAGACAGCATAGATACAGTCACCTAAAGGCTTACAGACAGCATAGGTACAGTCACCTGAATGTAGGACTACAGACAGCATAGCTACAGTCACCTGAATAGAGGCCTACAGACAGCATAGATGCATTTACCTGGCGGCCTACTGACAGCATAGATACAGTCACATGAATAAAAGACTACAGACAGCATAGATACAGTCACCTAAATAGAGGCCTACAGAGAGCATAGATACAGTCACCTGAATAGAGGACTACAGGCAACATAGATACAGTCACCTTAATAGAGGCCTACAGACAGTATAGATACAGTCACCTAGAGGCCTACAGACAGCATAGATACAATCACCTGAATAGAGGCCTACAGACAGCAGAGAGACAGTCACCTAGAGGCCTACAGACATCATAGATACAGTCACCTGAATAGAGGCCTACAGACAGCATAGATAGAGTCACCTGAATAGAGGACTACAGACAGCATAGATACAATCACCTGAATAGAGGACTACAGACAGCATAGATACAGTCACCTGAATAGAGGACTACAGGCATCATAGATACAGTCACCTGAATAGAGACCTACAGATAGCATAGATAGAGTCACCTGAATAGAGTCCTACAGACAGTATAAATAGAGTCACCTGAATTGACGCGTACAGACAGCATAAATAGAGTCACCTGAATAGAGGCCTACAGACAGCATATAAACAGTCACCTGAATAGAGACCTACAGATAGAATAGATACAGTCGCCTGAATGTAGGACTACAGACAGCATAGATACAGTCACCTAAATAGAGGCCTACAAACAGCATAGATAGAGTCACCTGAATAGAGGACTACAGACAGCATAGATTCAGTCACCTGATTAGAGGACTACAGACAGCATAGATACAGTCACCTAGAGGCTTACAGACAGCATAGGTACTGTCACCTGAATGTAGGACTACAGACAGCATAGATACAGTCACCTGAATAGAGGACTACAGGCAGCATAGATAGAGTCACCTGAATAGAGAACTACAGAGAGCATAGCTAAAGTCACCTGAATAGAGGACTACAGACAGCATAGCTACAGTCACCTGAATAGAGGCCTACAGACAGCATAGATGCATTTACCTGGCGGCCTACTGACAGCATAGATACAGTCACCTGGATAGAGGACTACAGACAGCATAGATACAGTCACCTGAATAGAGGCCTACAGACAGCATAGAAACAGTCACCTGAATAGAGGACTACAGACAGCATAGATACACTCACCTGAATAGAGGACTACAGATGGAATAGATACAGTCACCTGAATAGAGGCATACAGACAGTGTAGATACAGTCATCTGATTAGAGGCCTACAGACAGCATAGATACAATCTCCTAGAGAACTACAGATAGCGCAGATACAGTCACCTGAATAGAGGACTACAGACAGCATAGATACAGTCTCCTAGAGGACTACAGACAGCATAGATACAGTCACCTGAATAGAGGCCTACGGACAGCATAGATACAGTCACCTGAACAGAGGCCTACAGACAGCATAGATACAGTCACCTGGCGGCCTACAGACAGCATAGATACAGTCACCTGGCGGCCTACAGATACCATAGATACAGTCACCTGAATAAAGGTCTAAAGACAGCATAGATACAGTCACCTGAATATAGGCCTACAGACAGTATAGATACAGTCACCTGAACAGAGGTCTACAGACAGCATAGACAGAGTCACCTGAATAGAGGCCTACAGACAGCATATATACAGTCACCTGAATAGAGGCGTACAGATAGATTAGATACAGTCGCCTGAATAGAGGACTACAGACAGCATAGATACAGTCACCTGAATAGAGGTCTGCAGATAGAATAGATACAGTCACCTGAATAGAGGACTACAGGCAGCATAGATACAGTCACCTGAATAGAGGACTACAGAGAGCATAGCTACAGTCACCTGGATAGAGGACTACAGACAGCATAGATACAGTCACCTAGAGGCCTACAGACCGCATAGATACAATCTCCTGAATAGAGGACTACAGACAGCATAGATACAGTCACCTGAATAGAGGCCTACGGACAGCATAGATACAGTCACCTGGACAGAGGCCTACAGACAGCACAGATAGAGTCACCTGAATAGATGCCTACAGACAGCATAGATAGAGTCACCTGAATAGAGGCCTACAGACAGCATATAAACAGTCACCACCTAAATAGAGAGACCTACAGATAGGACTACAATAGATACAGTCACCTGAATAGAGGACTACAGACAGCATAGATACAGTCACCTGAATAGAGAGTACAGTCGCCAGAATAGAGGATAGAGTACAGTCACCTGAATAGAGTCCTACAGACAGTATAAATAGAGTCACCTGAATTGACGCGTACAGACAGCATAAATAGAGTCACCTGAATAGAGGCCTACAGACAGCATATAAACAGTCACCTGAATAGAGACCTACAGATAGAATAGATACAGTCGCCTGAATGGAGGACTACAGACAGCATAGATACAGTCACCTGAATAGAGGCCTACAGACAGCATATATGCTGTCACCTGAATAGAGGACTACAGACAGCATAGATACAATCACCTAAATAGAGGCCTACAAACAGCATAGATAGAGTCACCTGAATAGAGGACTACAGACAGCATAGATTCAGTCACCTGATTAGAGGACTACAGACAGCATAGATACAGTCACCTGAAGAGAGGCTTACAGACAGCATAGGTACTGTCACCTGAATGTAGGACTACAGACAGCATAGATACAGTCACCTGAATAGAGGACTACAGGCAGCATAGATAGAGTCACCTGAATAGAGAAATACAGAGGGCATAGCTAAAGTCACCTGAATAGAGGACTACAGACAGCATAGCTACAGTCACCTGAATAGAGGCCTACAGACAGCATAGATGCATTTACCTGGCGGCCTACTGACAGCATAGATACAGTCACCTGGATAGAGGACTACAGACAGCATAGATACAGTCACCTGAATAGAGGCCTACAGACAGCATAGAAACAGTCACCTGAATAGAGGACTACAGACAGCATAGATACACTCACCTGAATAGAGGACTACAGATGGAATAGATACAGTCACCTGAATAGAGGCATACAGACAGT